ACATACAAATCGATATACGTGTACATGTTGTAAAAGAGGCGGGCATGGTTGGGTAGGGGGTTGAACATGGTACAGCTGAAAGGGGTGTTCCCCCCCCCCAAAAAAAAAAAGATACAAAGAGTAATACAGAATACAATTTTAACAAAAGGAGTTGTCGAGTTGATCACATTTTACTTGGTAGTAGGTTGATTATTATCCTTAAGAGACTTTTAAGGATAATTTTATTTTCATATGGACAAGGTTAAAATTCTGTTTCTCTAAATTTCAAGGACGGGAGGCTTTAAAATGAATACTTTAAACCGAGTAAATGTTTTGAATTTCTGCCATTTTTTCAGTATCTAAAATGTGAGTTAATTATGTTGTGTAAATTTGTGTAATTTGCGTATGGGGATTGGGTTGTGTTATTAATGGCCTAGATGGGGAGGATTTGAGTCCTTTTTTTTCTTCACTCCACGCCTTCCAGGGGGGGGATTTGGTCACTCTGAGTGTGCCCCAGTGACATACAGTTCTCTTGAAACCCTTTATTAAGCTGGACCTATCAAACTTCAGAAATTTCAATCCGCGACTTGATTTCTTGGTGAAAGCATCAGGGCTTGAATGCCGGAAGAGAAAGTTGAAAGATGACGTTAAAATTAAGTACCTTTCTTTTCTTTTGCAACATATTTATAGCAATAGCAATCGAACAGTTTTTAATTATTGTGTTTAAATCTCGTTTCTCATAATGCTGGTATTTCTCCAGGTCAATTGCAGTTCATTTTACCATTGCCGTAGGCCTATTGCATGTTGTATTATACCAAGCTATGTAGGCCTATACGCGTACGTACGTGTTGACTAAAGGTTCAGAGGTGATTAACTTGCATTGAATGGATGCAGAGTTAAGAATACAATTGTAAACACTTGAAATCGCGTCATTTGATAAGGAAAGTCCCCCACAGACTCGTAAACTTTGTACATCTTTGCAGCACAGCAGCCCAAAACAAAACACTTCAGTGGGAACTTAGGAACACTTTTGGGAAACTCCAGGGACCTATTTCGTAGCGCTGTTAACAGCCTATTTTGTGCTTAATACTAAGGCTACATCTATTTCTTAGAGACAGTCAGCAGTAAGCACAGCAAAGCACGCTTAACAACAGAGGAAAAATGTGCTTGAATCAGTGACGTATTTGCCTGCGCAGCCGATAGCACGTCCACGCAGTGAAACATTGCTCAGCATGATTTTCTGCTAGTATTAAGCAAAAGTGTTTTGCTTACTGTTGATAACCATGATAACATGGTTGGGGTGAAAACAAAACAGCGGTGGAGCAATTTTGAACACTACAACTTCACGGGGGAGGGATCCTCCAGAATCACATACGACTAAACTAAGTCAAACTGTTGTACAGGACTTGAGTTTGAACAGACAATCGGTTTACATTATTTTATAAAGGATTCGGGTAAGGCTGGGTGAAGGGGTTGAACACGGTAGAGGGTGCTCTGTCCACAACAAAATAATACAAGTACCGAGCCTACAGAAAACAAGTTCAACAAAAGGTGTTGGTAGCGCTTAGTCGCTTGTCAGTGGGTTGATTATTATCTTTAAGAGACTTTCATTTTCATAGACAACGTTAACATTCTGTTTCTCTAAATTCTAAGGATGGAATGATCTGTTTGTGCTTATCAGGCTTCAAAATGAATACTTTAAACCAAATGAATGAGTTGCATTTCTGCCAGTTTCTTTCAGCATCTTAAATTTGTATTAATTTGTTTACATTTTTTTCATTTGTCATAATATATCCTCTGTAGGTATGGGGCATGCGTATAGTGGACAAAACACACATTTTGGGATTGGGATTCTTCATTAATGCCCCATGGCTGGGGAAGATTTGGATATTCGATGGTACCCCAGGGGTGAAGATTTGGTCACTCTGAAAATGCCCCAGTGACATGAAGTTCTCTTGAAACCCTTTATGAAGCTTATTAGACTGGGACTATAGCCGCCACGACCTCCTGCTATTCAGCTGAAGTTACCAAACTTAAGAAATTTCAATCTGCGACTCGATTTCTTGGTGAAAGCATCAGGGCTTGCTGCCGGAAGAGAAAGTTGAAAGACAACATTAGGATAAAGTACTTTTCTTTTCTTTTGCAACATAATAAACAATCAAACAGTTTTAATTATTGTGTTTAATTCTTGTTTTACAAAATGCTGGTAATTTAATATCTCCAGGTCAAAAGCAGTTCAATTTACCATTGCTGTATTTCATGTTTATTAATACCAATTTAGCTATGTGGACCCATACACATAGGCCCTACGTGCTGACTAAAGGCTCAAAGGTAAATTAAGTTGCATTGAATAGGTACAGAGCTAAGAGTAACACTTGAAATCGCGTCACCCACTGACTCGTTACATACTGACTCGTCAACTTTGTACATCTTTGCATCACGTGTGGCACGTACACCAAAACAAAACACTTCAGTGGGAACTTAGGAACACTTTTGGGAAAACCCAGGGACCAATTCCATAGCGCTGCTTAACAGCCGATGTTGTGCTTACCGAGCCATATCTTTCATAGAGACAGTAAGCAGCAAGCACAGCGAAAGCACGCTTAACCATTTAGGAAAACGTTGCTGAAATCAGTGACGTAACAATATATTCGTGCGCAGCCATTAGCACGTCCACGCCGTGAAATAATGCTCAGCATGATTTTCTGCTAGTAAGCAAAAGTGTTGTGCTTACTGTTGATAACCATGATAACATGGGTTGGGTGGAGACAATACAAGGCCGGAGCAATGATGGCACTACAACTTCGCTGGGGGGGGGGTCTCAAGAATCACATACAACTAAACTATAAGTCAAAATTTTGTACCTGGGAGTGACTAGATTTTGAACGGAAAATAGATAAACAAGTTGTAAAAGAGGCGGGTGTGGTTGGGTTGTGGGTTGAACTGTACAGCTAAATAGGGGTGATGTCGAAAACATACAAGTAATTACAGAAGGCAAATGTAACAAAAGAAGTAAGTAGCGCAAAGGCACATTGTACTTGTTAGTGGGTTGATAATTATCTTTAAGAGACTTTCATTGATATTCCTATTTTCAAAGACAAGCTTAAAATTCCTCTGTGTGTAGGGGGTACGTGGGGCATGCGTAGTGGGCAAAGCACATGACCTTCTACTGAAGGTGCCAAACTTCAGAGCTTTTAATCTGCGACTTGACTTCTAGGTGAAAGCGTCAGGGATTGCTGCCGGAAGAGAAAGTTGAAAGACGACATGAGGGTAAAGTACTTTCCTTTTCTTTTGCAACATATTTGTTGTAGCAATAATTAATCAAATAGTTTTTAATCATCGTGTTTAATTCTAGTTTCTCATAAATTTCTCATAATGCTGGTAATGTAATATCTCCAGACCAATAGCAGTTCAATTTATGCCATTGCCGTATTTTCATGTTGTATTATAGCAAGCTGTATAGGCCTATACGCGTACATGTTGACTTAAGGCTCAAAGGTGAATTGAACTTCATAGAGTAGATGCAGAGCTAAGAATAACACTTGTAAACATTTGGAATCGCGTCATTTGATAAGGAAAGTCACCCACGGACTCGTCACCTTTGTACATCTTTGCATCACAGCAGACCAAAACAAAACACTTCAGTGGGAACTTAGAAACACTTTGTGGAAACCCCAGGGCCCAACTTCATAGCGCTGCTAAACAGCCGACTTTTGTGCTTACCGAGCCTAGATCTAGTTCATAGAGACCGTAAGCAGTAAGCACAGCGAAAGCGCGCTTAACCACGGAGGAAAAAGTTGCTTAAATCAGTGACATACAAGCAATAGAAAAAAAACGCCGTGCAGTGCTCAGCATGATTTTCTGTTATAGTATTAGCAAAACCTGTCTGCTTACTGTTTAGCAGCGCTATGACATTGGGCCCTGTGGATGTATCTGTGTAGGTCTACCGGAAAAAATGTACTAGTATATCGATACGCGATTTGCCAGGATTTTAAAACAAACAGCTTATATACTATGATTGTTATAGATTTATTAATAGGACTAGTTTGAAGAAAAAAAAAGAAAATGCATTTGTTTTGTTTTATTTCGTGCAAACTGCTGGCATACGGTAAAATGTCAAAAATGCTTGTGAATCATTAACTCGCAAAGTTTGAGTCAACGCCATATAAGTACATTGAACCAGAGATTAATTTGTATTAATGTAGTTCCGTCAAGTGGTCATAAGATCGGTGGGCGTAGCATCTGCAGTGCGTCAGTGTTGTCTTGGATGTCTGTGAATCAACCCGCTCTGAACTTAACTGTACGTTTGGCTACAGCCATTGCTCATTTCTTCCTTTTCTTTCAGTTTCATGGATTATAGCAAACGCCGAGTTACCCATTAAGAAGTTTTATACTGTTGCATGTTTTGCCTATCTCACTTGTGACGGTCACTTGTGAGTTGTGATTTACTCTGGTCTTTGGGGAAGATTTACGAAGCTTCGTGTCACGTACCATCTATGCCACACGTGCATTAGTCTGGCGCCATTTCCTTCATGTATTTACGTAAGTTAAGTCTCCATGCGAACGGCGAGAGAGGCAATTGTCCGTTTCCGTCATGTGACCACTTTGAAGCCATTCTAAATCAATTGTATATTCACTCTGGGACGAACTTGACAACGATTGTCTGCCTTGGTTTTTTTTTCAGCAGCCTTGGGTGTATACATACATTTAAAAGCCTAGTAAAAATAGTTACATGTTTACCTAAGAACAAAAAGTCGCACAGCTTTTCATCAGCTTAATCATTAACATGCAAGATTTCCGTTTGCAGCCGGGTGATCCAAAGTACCACGATGCAACAATCTGAAGCAGCCTGCCAACGGACTGATGTCCCTACCACGATGCAACAAACTGAAGCAGCCTGCCAACGGACTGATGTCCCTACCACGATGCAACAATCTGAAGCAGCCTACCAACGGACTGATGTCCCTACCACGATGCAACAATCTGAAGCAGCATGCCAACGGACTGATGTCCCTACCACGATGCAACAATCTGAAGCAGCCTGCCAATTGCAACGGACTGATGCTACCACAACGCAACAGGAGTATGTACCCAACCCCTCAGCTGCAACAGGCGAGTAGTAGCTAGACCACTTGGGCTCAATTTATGAGGGAGTGGAGGGGCATACACCGTACCTCCAACTCACTCACCGACCCAACCACATACCACACCCCAATAATCAGTCGTGTGAGAAGTCACAGCTTTTCAAGCACAGACGACAACTAGAGATGACATTTCGAGTAATACATCATTTTGATCAGCTTTTTGAAATCGTATTGTAATTTTTGCTTCTGATTGTAGATTCCCCACAACGAACTGAAAACACTGGAAACACCGGCTCAGTCAGCGGTAGCAACAACCCTATCATTGTTGGTTCAAGTGGAGTTAACATCAATTACAACTACCCGTTGGAGGGACCAGGTGAACATAATCTTGTTCGTTATGATAAAAGTACGTAGTTTGATGTCTTAGATCCGCGATATCTTCGAGGGTTAGGGACTATATAAACGTGGACACAAAAGGCAGATGGGCAGTTCTGCCAGAGAGTCGCCAATTTATTAGCCAGTTCTTGGCATACACAATATGAGGGCGCTATTTCCAGTGGGTAAAGTCTTGTAATTTGTTCCTCTATCTATGGGCCTTATTCACGAGTCGGCCATATCGAATTGAAAGTTAGGTAAAATCTTAATTTTTTTTAACTTGCGAAGAAAAATGAAAGCAACTTAATTTATAATAAATTCCAGTCTGCTTCAATGAATAATTTAAAGTTTGTAATTGAACATTCCCTTATATTTTAAGCCATATTTAAAAAAAAATGACAGTAAAATAAGGCTGCATTGTGCCTTCATAAATAGTCTGGCGCCATCCCATTCAACAGTTAACAATTAATGAAATACATCCAGGGAACTCGAAAAAAAATGGTTGACTTGTGAATAAGGCCCACTCTCATGTGCCCACGCCAAATAGCGCCGCATATTGAGTATGTTGCATTAATAAAAAACAGAAAAAATGCTAATAAAACTTGAATGACGTCGCACGTTAATTTTGCACAAATGCATGGAATTAAATGCGACTGTTGGAGACAAAATTGAATAATCATGTTTGGTAAACTTGAGTTGCAGAGCAAAGTGGACTTTGTTTAATGGACTCGTACATTGCGATTGACTTCACAAGAAGATCGAAGTAAATCTTGGGCGAGAGATACCCGATATCCAATTAACTTTGTTTTGTGTTCAGCTTTAGTTATCAGTTTTGTGTCTTAATATATGTTTGTAAAAAAAAAGTGCATGCACTATGAAGCAAAATTTGACAAGTTTGCGTCCGCCAGCAGTATAAAAGACAAAACATTCATTTATTTATTGGGCAAATTTAGTTTGTGCACTGCCTTTCCAAAGAAAGGGTAATTCCAAGTACATGTAGTCACTTCCTATGATGTTTTTCATCATAGGAAGACGTTTCAATCTGTTCCAGAAACACTGTTTTATTGAAGACTACTTCTTGTTTGTTTTGATATGAATAGGAGTGCCTGCACCCAGACCTCAGCATAGTCAGAGACAAGACCAAGAACCAAGGCAGAGGACTCCTGATCCTAGCTACCAAGATGTCGGTAACAAGACTAGCGACATTTTGAAGAGAGTTTATAAAACAACAGGCAGTTACGTTCAGTTGTTGCCTGGGGTTGATAATGACCAAATGCACATAGCTGGTATATACACTAAAGTACAGTTAGAAACACGGGAAGGGGTGGCAGTGACTGGCCAGAAAGGAGAAACTGTAAACTCAACAGAGTATGAAAAAATATTCAGATTAAGGACAAAAACTGGGGAACTCATCAAACGCCTTGTTTTCTTTGGCATGGGAGGTGTCGGGAAGTCAACCATTTTTGATAAGATTGCATTTGACTGGGCCGATCAGACAAGCAAAATCCTGAACGGATTCAAGCTTGTCTTTCTTTTAAAGATGTGTGCCCTGTCGCAAAAATCAGATCTCGTTGATTCCACATTCGATCAACTTCTAGGCGAAAAGTCAAAAATAGAAAAAGGTGAACTTGATGAATTCATCCTTGCCAACCCAAATGAGGTCTTGATTCTTTTGGATGGTTTTGATGAAATGACGACCAAAACACTCGATGCCGCCTCATTCGGTTTTATACTAAAAGCACTCAATAGAATAGTATACCAGGAATGTTTCATCTGTGTATCGACACGCCCCTCTCGTCTTGAGACACTGATGTCAACATCACTTGTCCAAAATCCTTGCACACATGTAGAGGTTCTGGGGTTTACCGACGACGATGTTAAAGAATACGTTCAGAAATTCTATGAAAAAATAGATCCCGATAGTGGCAAAGAATTAATCCAAACCGTCGGAAAGTCCAACACGCTGCGTGATTTCGCGACAAACCCAATGTTGCTACTTCTTATCTGCTTGTTGTGGAGGGAGAGTAAACAACTCCCTGAAACAACTTCACGTCTTTTCACTAAGGCAGTAAATTACATGTTCACAAGAAAAGACGAGGACAAGAAGAGAGCATCAGATGTGAGCGTAACAGAGAAGTCAGAAACTTTGAATGCGATAGGACAAACTGCGCTGCGTGGACTCATGGATGCCAACCAGAAATTCTCATTTCAAGAAGATGAGTTTGAACCGAAGTCACTGGACTTAGCACTAAAAGCAGGCATCCTTACCCAGCAGAGAGTTATCAAAAACCTTGAATCCCACAACAATATACAGTTCACGCACAAGACAATGCAGGAATACTGCGCTGCGAGATACTTACAGAGTATACATATGTCAAACAAGGGACTTTTAAAGCGCATGTTGTGCAAAGTTGTACCATCTCAAGAATTTAAAAACACTTTAGGGCAACTTTGTCAGACAATTGAGGGCGTCGTTTCAAATGAGTTTCTCGTTCGTTTTTGTTGTGGTGACAATGAGAAGTGCATGACGGACATCGTAAACTTGCTTGACCTTAAGTTCAATAAAGATGAGTCTAGGTACCAATCAAATATAGTGCAGGCGATATGTCGAAACTGCTTCTTTGAAAGCCAATCAGCAAGGGCCCCACGGTGTCTCACCAGCGATTCGCATATCCCATCAAATATCACTGTGGGTAACAGTAATGAATTTCGCAGTCTCATATACCTTCTAGAAATCATCTGTAGGTCAGACAGCCGCACAGAACAACTGGCACGCGTTGAGACTATTCAGGTTTTTCGCGTGACTCGATATCCGGTCAGTGATTTAGCTGTCGCCCTGGGTTACATGGAAAACCTCAGGGATCTCAGGCTTAAGGAATGTCTTTCAGAGAAGGGCGCTCTTGAGAAAACCCTACCGTCGATATGTAGCCAACACTTCACCATGCTTATCATAGAGGATGGCAATACACTGGGAGGTAGAGCTGCAGAGTGGGCCCCTCATATCAAACACTTGGCAAGCCTAGAAAAACTTCAAATAAAAAGCTGCGAACTACAGGGAACAGATATTAAACACATTGCTTTGGCTGTAGGTGACATGCCAAATCTGACTGACTTGATCCTTGATGAAAACCAGACATTGAGCGGATCGGCTGACTCGTGGAACAAAGAAATGCCGACTCCAATAACGCAGCACTTAAAAAGGCTGAACCTCAGCAAATGCAATTTGACGTGGAAAGACTTTGAATACATTGCCTCGGCTGTAGGTGACATGTCCAACCTGACTGACTTGATCCTGTATGGCAACCGCCGATTGGGCGGATCGGCTGGGTCTGCCAAGAAATTGCCGAAAATGACGCACTTAAGGAGGCTGGACCTGGGCGGTTCCAATTTGGAAACGACAGACATTGAACACATTGCCTCGGCTGTAGGTGACATGCCCGAACTAACTGACTTGGGCCTTACTTTCAACGGGACATTGGCCTCCTCGGCTTTACTGTGGGCCAAGGAACTGCCAAAAATGAAACACTTAAATAGGCTAGACCTGACTTATTGCCATTTGAATGAGACAGACATTGAACACATTGCCGTGGCTGTACGTGACATGCCCGTACTGACAGACTTGAACCTTAACAGCAACTGGGTATTTTCTGATTTGGATGGGTTATTGTCCCACTTTCCGTCGCTCCGGGGTCACGTGAAAACTTAAACTCTATTTCGTTTCATGTAAAACGCTGGGTAGGCCTAATGAAACATTTGGAAAATGCGAAAAACCCAAATTAGGCAAAGTTTGTGAAACCTTTGGTCAATCCCTTGTAAATTGAATCAATACTGACGCACAAAATGCTTGAAGCTTTTGATGTGTCAGTCAGCCAAATATTGGGTGAAATTTTACGATGGGATTGTTTTTACCCCAACTGAGTTGGTTACGAGTTTTGTATTTGGTTGGGCACATAAAAAGGTATATTATCTTGTAGCCCATACAGGTTGCAAAGTGTTAAATTCGTTGAAGTTGGTCATTTCTGGTAGCATTTTTGGTCATTCAATTATTGTTTAAGTTATGTTTTAGCAATGCACACTGTCCTATATTGGTGAATAAGGATTGGCCCCAAATTAGAACAAATGAGTTTACTGTAATTACCCAATTGTGAGTAGCTTGTCTTCAAGCTTTGAATTGCCCATCAACAGGCCATTAATTTGAATGCCGACAGAAAAGCGAAAAATTTGCGAATTTAAAGTTTCAGTTGTCCACAATGCAGCTAATTAGGGAGCTCAAAGTTGAGATACATATCACCTTATCCATGAAGTATTAAAAAAATACTCTATGTTTCAATGTGCAAACAACGAGAGTCCGATACCATTGAGTTGGCTCATTCAAAATAATAGAACGAAATTAAGTTTTTGTTCATGTCGAATTAAAATGAAAATTTCCGAAACGAAAAACACTCAACGGCCATTTTCGGAATCGAAAAGGACAACGTCACGCATATCAATTAAAACTTTATGCAACTTGACGAATTTCGATGCTTTGCTCTCCTTTTGCCGCATCAGTATTCTTACTTCTTTGTAAATGAAGACACATTTCGCGCGTGGTATCAAGCACATGGCAAAAACGCGTAGTCCGTCCAAGATGCCTAACCACCTACGGCGAGGCCTAATCTTTTCAGTTCCACTTTCGGCTGTTCTTTGTAAATGAAGACACATTTCGCGCGTGGCGTCACGCACATGGCAAAGTACCAACACATAGTATTCAGTCCAAGATGTCCAGCCACCGACTTCGTCAAAAACTCCTGGGTCGGATCGACCCAGAATCTAATCTATATTTGCCCAGTCCTTTTCCCGGTCAAAAATGGCACTTTTCTGGGTCAAAATGAACAATAGACAACTATCATTTTTGACCCGGAAAAGAGGCATTTTTGACCAGGAAAATGACTGGGCAGACATAGATTTAGAGTGTTTAGAACCGCTAGGTCTAATCTTGTCAGTTCCGCCTTCGGTTTTTCGGCATGTATTTGAAACAGGTTGGAAATTTTGCTTTTAACGCGAATTAGTTTCTGTTTTGGATGTCATGGTCCTATTTTTAAGTCTTCGGAAGACCACAGGTTAATATGTTCACCAGCAGAGTGTTGGGCAAACAGATTGTTACAAAATGGTCAAAGCCCTTCCTCCAGCTTCTTTATTAGTGAAAAAGACCTTCTAAAATGCGGTTGGGCAATATTCACCAGAAGATGTGAAGTTGATATTTATACACCAAATTGTTTAGGGTGAAAAATTTGGCAAAACTTTCAAAATCTCAAACTTGTGTACAAAATCAGGGACTTGTACAAATTCCAAAGAACAAAATGGATCCTTAAAACAAATGTGTCATTCAAGGACGCCTGTAAATTCAAACATAAACACCGTAACACATTCTCGATTCAGATCGTCAGCAAAGTCACGCAGCGTGTTAGACAATTAACTCATTTAGCTGTTCGCCCCGTGGTTTGTTATCCATTTCAAAGTTGCTCTCATAAAAGTCTCTGGTCAGATTTGACCCCAGGTCAGATTGGACGTGACACTCTTCTGGGTCAAAATGACACTTTACTGATCAAAACGACAATTATCTGTGCCAAGTGACCGCAAATGTGACTCGGAAAAGTGTCATTTTGACCAGGAAGCGTGTCAGGTCAAATCTGACCCGGATTCGTGTCCAATCTGACCCGGGACTTTTTAGAGTGTATATGATTTGCCGATTGTGCATCTGCAAACATTTCAAATTAACTCACAATTTGTAAAGACTTCAAATCTCTACGCGTGTGCAAGAAAACCCCACTAAGTCGATACACAGGTGATGCATGGTACTCGTTGATTTATTATCAAACACTGAGGCTGTATGGGTGGTTTGGTCCATTTCCTTCACAAGTTGAAAAAGGTTGGCCAGACAACAATTTGTATGTATGTATCACGTTAAAACAATGAGTGCGCTTTGGGTGTTTTTTTTTTTGTGGGGGGGATTAATCCAACCATTGATGATTCATGTACATTTTTGTAAATACAATTATATTTTTAAAGACTAGTTGGCATGTACGGAGCTTTTAAAGGGACAAAGGTGAAAAAAAAATGAAAAAATCATCGTAAGAACGAAAAAAATCTGCGTTCGAACGAAAAAAATCTGCGTTCGAACGCAGATCTTCTTCGTTCGAACGCAGATCTTCTTCGTTCGAACGCAGATCTTCTTCGTTCGAACGCAGATCTTCTTCGTTCGAACGCAGATCTTCTTCGTTCGAACGCAGATCTTCTTCGTTCGAACGCAGATTTTCTTCGTTCGAACGCAGATTTTTTTCGTTCGAACGCAGATTTTTTTCATTCTTACGATGATTTTTTCATTTTTTTTTTCACCTATGTCCCTTTAAAAGCTCCGTAGGCATGGAAGTGATGGTATTATATATATTGTGTACAAATATTGAGAGCCAACCACCGACTTTACAATACTGTAATAACACTGTCAATAATGTAAATATATATATTTTTTATTTTAAAGAAGCACATTTATTTTATATTGTTAATAATTTGTATAAAACCTTTGGTGCTAAGATTTGTGTGAAGATCACTTTTAAATACTGTACATGTGAAGCAGTGACTGTTGAAGGGGGATGGGGTTCTCACTAAACTACCAAAATGTGGATACAGACACTTTTGACATAATTTGGATAGAATTAAGTGTAATGTCAAATGTATGTTTTGCAGAATACAAAAACGTCGAATGTTTGACTTTATTCATGAAATTCTTTCAAATGAAGGATAAGTTACTCAAAAGTATAAAATTTCAAATAACATTTGCTTTTGCTGAAATTTTCAGAAGTGGATGGATTTGGGGGTTAGAGTTTTATAGTAAATATTGTTACGCTTACTTGTTTGACGTTTTGTGCTCGTAGATGCTGGAAAAACCAAGAAAATCAATCATGTTCCTGTAGTCTGGTTCCCTGACCCCACTTAAGCAATTGATAGACTTCGGGAACTTGTAAGGTCTTTATAGACTTCGGGAACTTGTAAGATCAGGGCCAGTCTAACTGGCTTGTACCCGGTCATAGGTATGTAATCGATTGCAAACAATGCAGGCTAACTAAATATTGCAAATTGGGGGCAGTATGAGAATAAAGTAAATTTTTCCAAAAAAGAAACCACTTTTCTTGAACATGACCTGGTTCCATGATTTTACAGGATGCTTTAGACTGTCATTCACTAACAATCCAGTAAGGTATTTAATAATAATTTGGAAGTTTTGTTCGTTGATGTTTGCAAATATTGTTTATTTCTTTTTTGAGCATTTTCCGTTTATATCTCTCATCACACATTGATACTAAACAAAACTGGACAATTCTGTTTTTGCAAGAATGGAGTAAATGTATGGATTGCATTAATTGGTTCCATTAATCCAAATACATCATGTTTGTATTTCACGATTGTAGTGTGATCGATCATGTTGTGTCAGTTGTATTCTGTTATGTTGCATTGTACCTTAAAGGGCTCATGCAATGTAATTTTGTAATGCAATCATTAAAAATGCCCCTTTCACAAGAATATTTTGGTGCCTTTTGGCTTTTATGCTGATGCAAGTGTCCGCCATATTCATGAGCGAAAGTGTGATGCCATTTCAGGCAGAAACTTTATGTTCCGACAAGTTTCAGCACCAAAAGTTGCAAGACGTTTTGATATTTAATTGTCTTAAATTTGTATTTCGTTAAAGATTTGTTGTGTCAGTACTTGTAGTACACCAATGAGAATCTCTTTTCACAATGAGCTAATTGTATTTTTCGCGCACACTACAATGTTTTGGTTATATCATTTTAGTTATTTGACCATTTCTCTCGATATTTAACAGACTTGTGTTATATGACGGACGATAACAGGATGAAATTTTTATTTATTTCAACGGATACTTTTTGAGTAATCATCCGGACGCCAAATACATGTACGTTGTTATAATTCCATGAAAGTTTACTTCAAGTCGTGGTGTGTTTTTCGCGCTTAAAACACTATTATTTTGGTAATTTCACTACTTCTCCCAATTTTCAACAGAATAGTGATTCACTTCACACTTAATCAATTTATGAAATTCTGAGTCAATAAAAGAATTATTTCTTGGAAACTAAGTGTGTTGTTTGTCCCGAATAGGAGTTGACTTTAATTTGCTGGGATTTTTGTCAACAGAGGGCGCGCTACACAAATACTGGTCCCCTCCTAAAAAAAATGTCACAAAAAGCAAAGCAAGCATTTCTCTTTATTTCTCGTTCTTTAATTGTTTACATTTTCCTTACTTCTGACAAGCAAAGACATATAATTAATATTGACTAAAAACCTAAATTGGACCTTAAGCTGCTCAAGGTCTTGCACTGTCATTATTGAAGGGCGGCCTCTAGTGACATTGAAGACTTCCCAAAGCATTGTGGGTATTACCGCCATCTTTTCAAGTCGTCTGTCGTACGCACGAGGAAGTGTTTTGTCCCGGTCATTGCAAGTTGAACAAAATTGGAACTCCTTGTCCTTCTCAATGTCCGAGTATCTGGAACGGGATAAGGTAAGGTCTTGTTAACCCTCCTAGTGGGAAGTCAGTATTCAGAGTGAAATGAAAAACCCTTAGAAACCCAGCCTGCAGGTCAGTTTCAAGTGAAAGTAAATGTGTCACACAGAGAGACACTGCACGAGAAACAGCATTGTAGGGAGCAGTGAAGTGCAACTGAATCTGCCTGCTAACACTGAGTTTAATAACACAAAGGATTTGTGCGGCGATTCCAGAGTTGTAATGACTCGAGTCAATGACTCGACTCGAGTCCGACTCGAGTCACATTTTTTGGCGACTCGACTCGACTCGAGTCCCGACGGGTAAATGACTCGACTCGACTCGAGTCACTGCGAGCAAATGACTCGACTCGACTCGAGTCCCTCATCAGAATGACTCGACTCGACTCGAGGAAGGCTAATAAGACTCGAGTCCCAAAATAAAAGCAAAACTTGCTTGCAAAAAATATTTGCAATGACTTACGCTGCGCCGTTCGCGTTGCCAGTTTTTGTTCACGTCACGTTAATGTTCGCGAATAATGTACGTTTATATCCTACCTCCATAATGAAACAACAAACATACACCGTGTCGCGGACTCCCACCTTGTGGTTCTATAGCATGTAATGCTAAACCCGGAACCAGACTTAAAACGCATTTCTCAATCCGTGGTTTCATCATTGGTTTCGGGCGATTTTGAAGTTCTTGGTGGAACGCTGGCTAAATTCATGCCCCGATTTCACACACAAAAATGGATACGGACAGGCCCACCTTTAAATAATCAGAAACAGTTTTGTATAATGCAATTAGGTTTTAACGTTGTCAGCGATCAGCGAACAACAAAATCTAGACCCGAAGCCAAACCAGTTATAAGACCGAAGTTTCACATCTTCTTATCTGTGACGTGAGCTAGCAATGGAAACTGTTGGTTGGGTACCATACAGCATACTTTATGTCTTTGGATTTCCGTAATAGACTGGTGCCTTGTATTCTTTCTCTCTTGTGTTTGTTGCTTTTTATTGTAAGTCAGTGTTCAAATGTTTGTGACTCGAATTGACTCGAGCTAAATACTTGACTCGACTCGACTCGACTCGACCACACTCTGTGACTCGACTCGACTCGACTCGACTCGACCTTGTTGACCTAATGACTCGACTCGACTCGACTCGAGTCACTTCTTTAAAATGACTCGACTCGACTCGAGTCACAAAAATCAGTGACTCGTTACAACTCTGGGCGATTCGAGGTGTTATTTATTCTTTGTAGACTGAAGATTACATCAAGGAATTTGAAGGGTGGGCGCTACAACTCTATTAGCCCCATAAATGTGGCTGAAAACTGGAATTATTCCGTATTAGTAAGCCACACCGCCATGATACAAAAATGTGTGGAAAGGTCCGTTGCTAGGGTAGCAGAAAATCAAATCAAGATTGGAATTGTTGTTACTTTGATAATCACCCTATCCATACTGCAACTGCTTCTAAGCTTAAAAAAAAACACATTGAATTCTGTACTGCGAAGCCACGTGACATGCAGATTTAACTCTCAAGGAAACTCTTGAGAAGGATAATTACTTCAGGGACAGCAGAGAATCGGGCAGGGCAAAAAACGTAAACTGAAAACATCATTGATTTCAAAACCTAGTACATGTAGATGCATGGTACTCGTTGATTTCTTATCAACCATTGAGGCTGTATGGGTGGTTTGATCCATTTCCTCAACAAGTTGAAACTTGTTAGCCAAATAACCTAAGTAATTATGTATAACGTTAATGGCATTGAGTCTCCTTTGAGTAGTTTTGGGATTCTTCCAGCTACTGTACATTTTTGAAGAATTTCATTTTCTATAGACGCGTTGGCCAGACAATTGTATATTTGTGTAAATACGTTGAAAAAAATGATTATCATTTTGAGTAGTTTTGGGATTACTAAAACCAAAATTGTATTTTTTAAAGAATGTTCCCTTTCATGTTTTGTATAACTTTGGTGGGGAGATCGATGGGAAGATCGGTTTTAAAAACTGCCAAGCGATGGAATAATTGTTTTGTCGTGGACCCAGCATTGACGGAGGAGGAGGGGGGGCTGGTTGCGCAACTGTATTCAGGATTATATCCGTTGAAAATGAATCAAGCGTGATGTCACATTCACTGCAGTCTGTGACAATGTCTTGCAGCGGCTAAGATGATGAAATATCACTTTGTTTACAAAGTTTCTAAATTGGAAGATTTTGTAATTTCAAATCACTCAAGCTGATAAGTTATTTGCCTGTTTCTCATTTATATCTGTAATCACTCATTAAAACTAGGCCTATAGGTTTTACCGGTCAATTTCGGGATTTTTCTGATAATTTTCATCATCAGCTATTCAATACGCGTGATTTTTACACATCTTATCAAATTTGGGGGTTCTTTTTCATCATTGGGGCGTTCCATTTCAATTTGTAGGCACCCACAAGATTTTGCTCCGAACTTTCGTTTTGGGTTTTGGGGCATTCAATTTCGTTTTGGTGCATTCAATACTTAATTTGTATCATTCTTAATTAAATTAAGCTTTTGACATCTCTTGACGGTTGACGCATTCAAATTAGCGAACGTCGGTGCGCATTATATGACGTTTTACCATGCTTTTCTCATTCGTTTATTCGCAACCATTTTCATCTTTTGGTCATTCAAATTATTTCCATTTTTTAATTGATATATTTTCTTATTTTCCTCCGAGGTTCGTTTTGTTTATCCAAATATTTTTGACTAAAATTTATAACGTAACAAATTAACTGATATTATGAGGGATAGATGATGTAACGAAGTCTTGAAAAGTAAAGGGCAAAGGAATTTTCTGTTTTCACTGTTGATCTTTTCTTCTTGCTTAAAAGTTTGAAAATGTATAAGAGGCAAAGCTGATATGTTACTAATCTTTTAACCGTTGACTTTGTTAACTGTTCCTTTTCTCGGTTTCTATGCTAATGCAACGTTCCATATTCATGAGCAGAAAGCTCAATATAACCCGGCTATTTCAGCACAAAATATTCTAGAATTGTTGATATTCTGCTGTCATAAATTTCTTTTCTTTGGTGATTCGTTTTTGTGTAAGTGCATGGCATGCAGTAAGCCAATGAGCAACCCTTTCTCACAAATGTTTTCAATGAACAAATGTTGGGGTTCACAATGTGAACAGAAGACCCCTCCTGAAATGACATCACTGCAGCAGCGCCCTTTAAACGTTTAAATGTTTAAAGAAGTGCACTTTTCAATATGGTTAGCACCCCCCCCCCCAAAAAAAAAAGGATGTCAAATGTAGTTTTCATACAATTAAGAGAAAAAAAGTGGAAAGTTGCACAAAATGTATTCCTAAGAAAAATTGTAATTGAAAAAGACTGTGCATTTCCGGGTTGAAGACACCTCATATGATTTATGCTGAGATAATTCAGAATTTTATAGGAATTCGGACACATGCAGGAAGTCTTAAAAGATGCTACATAAAATGAGAAATATGTTTGCCCATTAATGAAAATGAATACTCGATCAACTGCTGGTTCGGACGAAACTGAATGAATAACACGTCACTTTTAATCTGAATGCATCTTTTACAGGGACGAATAAAGCTAAACACGATATAGAATGCTCGGATGGTGAAATTGAATTATTCTTTTTCGACTGTGGAATGCCGATCTGCGTGATCTTTCCATTTCAATCTAAATTGAATGAGCTAGGCGTTATAAATTGAATGAAAACTTTGTGAAATTGGCCGGAAAAACTGTTAAAAATAAAAACTGCGGGAAATTCTCCGTTTTTGCAAGTAATGACCTGATGGAATAGATAGATCAATGGACTGCACTCTGGTTCCATAAAATAATCAATACATCATGTTTGTATCTCAATTGTTTCTGGTGTGATCGATCATTTTGTGTCAATTATTTTGGGTTTTGTTGCATTGAACCTTAAAACATGTTTTGTTTTGTTTTGTGAAAAGCGACCCCGAAACAAAATAATTCCCACATTTTTTGCAAATCTGAGTCATGGACTCACGGTCAGTCACCTTTCATTTCAACAATGTTACATAATTCACAAACTTTGCTGTTCACCATTTTAATTGTAAAATACACCTGTCAAGGGTGGATCGGGGGGGGCAACGGGGTCATACCCCCCCCCCCCCACAAAAAAAAAATACCGAGCCCAATTGGGTTTTTTTTTTAAGTGACGTCGCAAAAAAAAGACAGCCATTGCATACACAACCATCTTTTGCTCGAAAAATGGTTAAAGTGGTCAGAAATTGCCTCAGATCCGGCGCACCACAGTATCTAAAATCTATTGTCTCGGGGCCCAAACCCCTCCTGTGTTCGGGATCGATCCGCCCTTGACAAGTTGACACAACCTGTTTAGTAAAGGGTTCGTTTTTCCTTTTTTTATTAAGATTGAAAAACGGTAAATTGGTAAAGGGTTCGTTTTTCTTTTTCTTTATACGATTTAAAACGGTAATTGATTGGACGGTATGAACACGGACAGTCTCAATCTTTGCAAAGAAAACTGCCTGGAACTGTTGAAGTACGCGCGAAAGCGACAGCAGCTAGCTAGCTAAACATCATGTGATATATTGCCGCGGGCGCCCTCAACGCTGTGTTTTCGTCCTGCCTCGCGGCGGGGGAAACTTCGCTTTCCGTTTTACAGTTTCGTTAATATATGAAGCCCTTCATATTAATACGATCACATTGTCGTATAGTAAAAGTTGGTCCGGTAATTCTGCCTCAACTTATTATACTTGTGATGTATCATGTGATAATGTGCGCAGATCTGATCAGACGCATGCAGGAAGGCTTCCCCAGAGGGCGCCCTTGCTGATTGACAGCTGATGAGCTGAGGGGGTTCCCCAGTTAATTTCCGGGAAACCCCATTCGCGATTTCCAAATGGTTCGAATCTTGCTCAAATTCGACAGGTCTAAACAGGTACAGATACCGATATTGTAAGGTAAGTGGACATTTCGTATTTGTATTTAATCTACAAACTGACAGAGTTTCGTCATGTTTGAACAGGTAGGCCTTATGCTTTGAACTGTTGAATGACATGAACATGATGAATGATCATGATATAAAAAACAACAAAAAGCTACGCACTGGCATGACTGGTGTAGCTGGAGTTACCCAACCCTAAATTTTATCATTGGGTTGTCCTAAATGACAACCCAATGATAAAATTTAGGGCTGGGTAACTAGCTAGCACTGGTGGTAGCCTGCGCAGGGTACACTTGAAGAAAAATATGTGCTGTCCGAAGAAAAATATGTAACTCAATTTATAAACATTTTTTTTTTAATAACTTAGACTTGGTGGCTTTAGGAAAATATGTTTCCTGAGTTTTCAAACACATATTCTTTTTCAATGCCAATACCTTTTTGTAATTTCAAGATTATTTTCAATATCCCATTTTGGAGATTTATACAAAGGCCTATATGTATCTACATGTACTACATAAATAGATTTTATACATATTTACTATAGATTAAATGTAGATCCCAATGATATTGTTATTCTGATCATCCCAATCAACAGAAACAGTTTTTAAGATGTCGGATTTTAAACTTTATGACAAAAAAAATCCAATATAATATTAGAAATTTGTCTTTTTAGTTGGAACGTAAGTTTTACACCCTTGTAGAAACTACAAATTCTTATCTGTGACATCTTAACTATAATACTGACGATGTTGGGAGACCAAGAAAGGTCACCTTTCAGTCATATTTTCGACTTCTGCAGGCCCAGGAGCATCTGCCTGTATTTGTACTTGATAAATTTGCAGTAAATGCCGATGTTTTTCATTTTTTGCCTGAATTCCTAGTAAAGTATACCATGCAACATATGTTGCCCCAAATGTAGTAAAGCCTTCAATCTCCACATCTTTTTCGGCTGCTGGTTAAAGTTTATGCATCAAAGGATACGATCCCAGTGAAAGTACATGTATGTCATATTTTAGGATGTAGCCTTGCAAAATATAACTTGAAAGTGAGTGCGCAGAAATAGGAGCGCGTAGCTTTAGGAGGTCTGACGATATAGGTAAACTTGCCAATAATTTTAGCAGAGTTTTTAACACACCCACGACCACTGATGACAAGGCAAAAGGAACCTCTTTTCCAGTGGAACATGTTCTTCTAATTTGAAAATTAAACGAACTGATCTTTTGAGGTTTGATAAATTTCAGCGCACGTTTTATTTACACGTACACTAGACAATAACAGCTTTATTTCAGCTTTTCATTACTTAATCATTGACAAACAGGACTTCCATTTGTGGCCGGCCGGGTGATCCAAAGAACCATGGATAAACAACCTAAAGCAGCCCCCTCAGCCGCAACAGGTGAGTACGTAAACTTAGCTAGTTGCTTGGAGTCAATTTATAACCTTACTGGGGAGTGGAGGGGCATTCACCACCCCACCCCACCCCCACACCCACCCCCACTACCCTCACCCCCCCCCCCCAATTTATTTTTTGCGTCATAGCCTGCTTTTTTATGTACTTCTTTTTCTATCAATGGTCAGATGAAAAAAATATATACAACATTTGCTTTTGCTAGAATTTTCAGAAATAGATGGATTTGGGGGTTTACTGAGTAGGCCTATTGTTACACTGACTTGTTTGAAGCTCTGTGTTTGTAGAAAAACCAAGAAAAACCATCATGTTCTTTTAGTCTGGTTCCATGACCCCACTTAAATTGAAACATTTGGAGCGATTTATAGACATTTGGGAATTCTAAGGTCATCAGGGAACCAGTCTAGCTGGCTTGTACCTGTTTGTGGTGTGTTTATCGATTGCAAACAAAATTCAGACTAACTAAATATGGTAAATTGGAGGCAGTATTTGAAGGAAAAAAAACAGTGTTTTTTTTTTCAACGTCGGTCGGCTGACCAGCATTGGAAATTGATACAAAAAATGCCATTTTGTTGAAAATGTCAGCATAGGCCTACCAGGTGCCATGATTTTACAGGATGCTTATTAAACCGTCATTCACTAACAGTCAACTAAGGTATTTCATAATAATTTGGTAGTTTTTTTTTTTTTTATGTTTGAAAATGTTGTATATTCCCTTTGAAGGCAATGTTATCCAAGTCATTACAAACGACAAATGGAGATGGAATTAAGTACATGTATCATTTTAAAGGATATTTTACTTTTTGCTTCTGCTTGTAGGTTCCCAACAACCAACTGGAAACATCGGAAACATGGGCACAGTCAGCGGTAGCAACAATCCTATCATTGTTGGTGCAAGTGGAGTTAGTATCACTAATTACAACTACCCGATGCAGGGACCAGGTAAATATAACCTTGTTCATGTTGTTTGTTAAAGGAATGTAAACGACTTTTGCTGTAATTTTCAGAAATGAACTATTTGGGGGGGGTTCGAATAGTAGATCAAATATTGTTACACTGACATGTTTGAAGTTTTGTGTTCGAAAACGCTGGAATAACCAAGAAAAACAAAAATATGCAAGTAGTCTGGTTCCGTGACTCCACTCAAGATGAAATGGATCAAAAATACCAGAAAAATTGTAAGGTATGGGAACCAGTCTAGCTGGCCTGCACCCGTTCATGAACATGGAACCAATGGCCACCAAAGTAAAATTTAGACTAAAGAAAATGGTAAATTTGGAGCAGTAATTGAAAAATAGTTACGCTTTTCCAAGGGTGGTCGACCGACCAGCGTTGGAAATGTATACAAATACACCATTTTCTTGAAAATGGCTTTACACCAGGTGCATAATTTTACAGGATGCTTAAGCGTGTCATTTACCAACATCATAGTAAGGTATTTTGCAAATGTTGTATTTTCCCTTTAAAGGGAATATACAATATTTGCAAACATCAAAAAAACAAAACTACCAAATTATTATGAAATACCTTACTGGACTGTTAGTAAATTATGACAGTCTAAAGCATCCTGTAAAATCATGGCACCTGGTGTGCTGTCATTTTTAAGAAAAGTGGTATTTTTGTATCAATTTTCAACGCGGGTCGGCCGACCAGCATTGGAAAAAGCTGGCTTTTTTCAAATACTGCCCCTAATTTACCATATTTAATGAATTTTGTGCGCAATCGATTACACACCTATGAATGGGTAAAAGCCTTATAGACTGGTTCCCTGACCTTACAATTCCCCGACGTCTATAAATTGCTCAATTTCAATTTAAGTGGGGTCAAAGAACCAGACTACAAGATAAACATGATTGTTTTCTTGGTTTTTCCAGCATCTATGAACACAAAACTCCAAACAAGTCAGTGTAACAATAATTTGCTATAAAATACTAATCCCCCAAATCTATCCATTTCTGAAAATTACAGCAAAAGCAAATGTTGCATATTCCCTTTAAGATAAAAGCAATTTTATATCTAATGAAGTGTTAATGAACTTTTAATTTTTTTGTTTTGGTGGGTGGGGGGGGGGGGGGGGTGGTATACTACACAAACGTGGACACAAAAGACCGATTGCTGGTTGTGCAAGCTAGAGAGTCACCAATTTCTTTGGTACAACTATAAGCTAGTACATGGTAGATACAATAGGAGGGCGCTGTTTATGGTGGTTTTAGTCTTGTAATTTGTTCCTGTATGTATCCACGACAAGTAGCGCCCCCTATGGGTGACTCATCTGAAAAGTTACACATTAATTTTGCTTGCATGCACAAATTATTGAAATAATGAGCTAATAGGGGAGGGGACATGAATAATCATGGTTGGTAACATGAGCTGTTTTTTTTCTTGTTTTGATCTGAATAGGAGCGCCTACACCCGGACCTCAACAGACACCAGGCCAAGAACCAAAAGGTGAAGATCCTTACCAAGAAGCTGGTAACAAGACTAGGGACATTTTGAAGGGAGTTTACAAAACAACAGGCAGTTACGTGCAGTTGTTGCCTGGGGTTGATAATGGCCAAATGCACATAGCTGGTAGTGACTAAAGTACAGTTAGAAACACGAGAAGGGGTGGCAGTGACTGGCCAGAAAGGAGAAATTGGAAACTCAACAGAGTATGCCAAAATGGGGAACTCATCAAACGCCTCATTTTCTTTGGCATGGGAGGTGTCGCATACTGGACCAAGACCAGTCTAATGTGGCTTTCGCGAACCCGGGATTCTCCTGTTTGCATTCATGAGCGCCCTACTGAGATAATATGGCTTCTCAATCAGTTAACAACCATAGATATGTTTGCACATATAGCGGGAGTGCATAGTTTATCTAAGAACATACCATGGAGCCTTTTTTATAGCTCCATGATCATACAGTCAGGCTATCCCCAATGTATGTGCGTCGTTGTCCGGAGCCACCTGCCTCCCATCAGAATTTGAGTGACGAGTGACGAACCAGTTAAGTGCTGGAGAGCTACCTACATCTAAGAAAGCCACATTAGACTGGGCTCAGTCCAGTAAGAAGTAACCAATTTTGATAAGATTGCATATGACTGGGCCAATGAGGCTAGCATAATCCTGAAGAGGTTCAAGCTTATCTTTCTTTTAAAGATGTGTGCCCTGTCGCAAGAATCCAACCTTGTTGATTCCACTTTCAATTAAATTCTGGGCGAAAAGTCAGGAATTGAAAAAGACGAACTTGATAAATTCATCCTGGCCAACCCAATGAGGTCTTGATTCTCTTGGATGCTTTTGATGAAATGAAGACCAAAAATCTTCGGATTTATCCTAAAAGCACTCAACAGAAAAGTAGGCCTATACCAGGAATGTTTCATCTGTGTATCGACCCGCCCCTCTCATCTTGAGACACTGATGTCAGAATTACTTGCCCGAAATCATTGCTCACACGTAGATGTTCTGGGGTTTACTGATGAGGATGTTAACGAATACATGTACATTCGGAAATTCTATGACGAAGATCCTGATAGTGGCAAAGCACTAATCCAAACCATTGGAAAGTCCAACGCACTGCTTGATTTTGCTACGAATCAAATGTTTTTGTGTCTAATTTTTGGCAGCAAAACTCTTTTCATTTTTTTGTCAGTAGCACGTTTAGATGACAAAACTCTGCACGAGGTCGCTGAGAGGCTTTCTGCAAAATGGACAACACTGGCAGTTAAGGAGCTGGGCTTTTCCACCACACAGGTTGAGACCATCGAGAACAAATTTCAAAATAATTATATAAGGCAGGGTCTCGATATGCTTGTATCATGGAAACAGGCCCAGTCCTCCAGTGATAAACAACAGGTGACCACGTTGTGCACAGCATTGAAGAACATCGGAAGAGAAGATATTGCCAAATTTCTGCAGGGTTAATACAGGTACGTCTTTTTACTTGGTGTATGGGTAATGTGAAGAGAAATTAAAGAAAGAATTAACTTGCATTGCAAATACCAAATGTCTCCGCGCATTGTATGCGTAATGATAAATTTGTATGTCAAAATGACAATTGTCTATGTCAACATGACAATAATGTCGGGTCAAATCTGTTTACCTTCTACATAATGACACAGTGGTTTGTCATCAAAGTCAAACTTATGTACACTCATAAGTTCCGGGTCAGATTCGACCTGGAATCCGGGTCAGATTTGACCTGACATACTTCTGGGTCAAAATGACATTTTTCTCGGTCAAATGACAATTACCTGGGTTCAAATAGCCAGGAAGATGACAGTTTAGTGTATTTTTGACTTGGGAAAGCGTAAGGTCAAATCAAGTGCAATTGTGTTTGTGTAACAGGATGAATTTTGTGCCCCCAGTTTTTTTTATTGAATCCTAACTCCCCAGAATTAGGTCATCATGCACTTTCTTAGGAATATGTGGGAATTGTTGGCAGCGCGTGTGGGCGGTTGGTAGCAGAACTTGCAGCCACAACCACAAGATCTAGAGTTATAAATTCGGTGGCCGGTGACTTTTGTCTTCACCAATGGCCACTGAACTGCACTAGAGACAGGGTTGTTGGTTCGTTGTAGCACCCATCTCCTCTTTTTTATAAGATGGAATTTGCAGCATTTGCGGCATGGTGATGTAAATCAATATTAGGTTTTTCCCTTCACCGACGTATATACAAAGCAGGAGGTTGTGGGTTCGAGTCCCACCCTACTGATTTTGTCCAACTTTCACTCAGGAGGTAACACACTGTTAATACATTGGTGAAGGGCAAAACCTAAAATTGATTTGGCCCCCGACGCAAATTCCATCTTATGAATAGTTAATGCGGTACCCACTGCTATGTACATCAGATTCGAACCAGCCAACTGATCCCGCAATAGAACGCACCTGCAATAGAAAGCAGGAGGTTGTGAGTTCAAGTCCCACGACGTTTATACGTCGGTGAAGGGCAAAACCTAATATTGATCCTCCATTAACCTGCCATGCTTATAAGTTCATTCTCTTGTTCTGCTCTAGGCACAACAGCAACAGAAATCCAGCCTATGTCTCCCGCCGAGTCTACAGTTCCCGACAAGTTCCAGCTAAGTCACCATCAATCCAGCCAGGCCAAGTCCAACCAAGTCCAGACTACAAACTCCCAATCAAGATAGGCTGCTGAAATACATGTACTAGTTTTCTCTTAAGATTTATTGCATTACTTTAGTTTACGTATCATTTTGAAATATAGATATTTTTTTTTTGGGTGAGAACACTGATATGCTATACAGCTTGTGAATTTTTTGTTTTCGTTATTTAGCTGGAAAAGAATAAAATCTCAATAGCAAACTTAAACAAAGGCGTAAAATAGTTAAAAAATAATTCTATAGGCACGTGCTCATTATCAAATCATGCCCGCTACATAATTGGTGCCTGATGTGTGGTTTACGCTGTATTTTTCTATCAAATGTTAACATTCGCACACACCTTTGAACAGCAAAGTAGCAAAGCCCACAAATTCTATTTGATATTGTTCATTTTCCATATTGCATTGCCATTCCTTTTACTGAAATAAGTATCTTTGTGGAGACAACTTTTTGTTCTCGTGTACTAAAATTTGTGAAAATCTAGTTTCAAAATTCTACTTTTACCAGAATAAATTTTTAAGCTAAAATTTGGACCAAATATAAAATCATTCAATTTCATTATGATGTAATTTTATATTTTGATGTAACTCTTATTTTTGAAATAAATTGAAATTTTTTCACTTTTCATTGTTTCGCATTTTTTCACTTTTCATTGTTTCACTTTTATATTTTGCCCTTATTGTATTGTCGTAAGAAGCAGCTGTCCTTAAATTGTTAATAGTCCCATTCAAGCCACTGCAGAACTAGTCTGAGTATCACCGGTTATCCACAGAGCCAAGTCTCCTAAATCGTCTTTATCGGAGTCGACTTTAACTAAATCGTGACATTATTTCATTCCCAAATCAGGTCTATTAGTGTGATTGGTCAATTCGAATGCAGTGTTTGGTAATACAACAGCAGCGGGGTGCGTATAGTGTAACATAAGGCCAAAAGAAAAAAATAGTCGGTCTCTGGTCAGACCAAAGTTCCGGAACTGACGCGGCCACACGGCTTTTTTTGTGTGCTTTTTTTTCCTTTTTTTTTCTTCATGCTTGGATTGTACAGACAGGGTGGGTGCTTTTTTGGTGTCCTCATGGTGTCCTCCATAATTTGCCTTGGTGCTTTCGATCATTTGCCTTGGTGCAATTTCCCATTCCTTGGTGCTCTTTGGTAAAAAAAAAAACAAATTGAGGAGATGCGGAAATAAAGGGCGCTGTTTGGGCTACCTCGGAACATTTTGGAAAAAAAAAAGATCGACGCGCATGATTAAAATTGACGGGCGCGCTGACCAGAGACCGACTTATTTTTTTTTTTTGCCTAATATAGAGTGCGGCGTGACCACAACCAGTTTATTGTTGGTGAGTCTAGGGTATTTGTTTTTATCCATGTCTATGACGCAACAACAGTGAATGACCGAAGACCCGAAATAGAAATTAAGCGCCCGCTGATTGGTCAAAATCTAGAGGTCAAGATGCGGTTGTCTTGCATATTAATCAGCAAATCTGCTCAAATGTCATAGACTATATGTTTGCCATGGTATACAATAGACTACTGCAGAACAGGTCTAGAGGCAATGTATGAGTAGGGCAGGGTACGTTAGTTCACGGAAGTAGCCATCAATCGGGGGGGGGGGGGGGGGGTGCCCCCATAAATTCCGGATTGCCCCCATCCCCCTCCCCCCCCCCCCCCCCTTTCCCCAACAAAATCCGAAATTTGCTCAGTGCTTGCCAAGGAAGTGTCTCTGAAAGTATGTTTTTTGAGTTATTAATACAAAAAGGAATGAAATGCAAATAAATTGATAAGAAAAAAGAGGGCCCTCTGCCATCAAAAGAGTCCCCCCCCCCCCCCGCACTGTTTTTTGTTGTTTTTTAAGGTCGAAATTTGCAGCGCTTGTGGTGACCTAGAAATTTGGGAAAATGGTTTTTTTTAGATCCGCTCTTAATTGGTGCCCCTACATGCTCCCCCTGGCCCCCCTTGAAAAAAAATCCTGATGATATAACCCATGAGAAAGAACAAAAGAAATGTGTCTTGCAGCGATAATTGACATTAAACGTGGACAAATTAATTGACGTACGTCATACATGCAGAATAGAGTTAAAGGTGGTATAAAGTGCTAAGACAAAACTAAATTGACAAAGCCTAACAGACCATGAACTGACTAAACTCGCAGCATTTCTGCATAATAACTAGTGCAAGTGAAATCGCGATGTTAATTTTGGGCCACCGTAGCGTCGCGTGTGCAACCTCAAGAGGGCGCTGTTCGTTACATGCATGATGAAATGCTGTCATGGCTGTTGAGTATGGTGGTGTACTCTAACGTGGCGCACTTCGACAACTCACTGGACATCCGTTCAAATTGCTTCAAAATCCAAGAGCCGATTCTGTTCAGACTTACACACGTTAGTGCCGGATTGAACACCCTCCAGAAAAACTATCTGTTATTCATTTTGGTTTAGTACAAATGACAAAAAAATTCAGAGAGTACGACAGAATTGTCGAGAACTTACTTACGCAAAACTATCGAACTGTCCCCTAACGTGGTGCACGCCGCTGATTGGCTGAAATGGTTTGGTACCATGCTACGGCGGCCTATGACGATCATTTGCCCTGACGACAATTTGCCGTGAAAAAAAAATGCAGGAAACAATATGGATCTTTAGGTGTTTACAAGTTTACAAACGGCTACAACATTAAAAACAGTTGAAAAGTAAAGCAAATCTCTTGAACCTCGAAATCAGAAAATATAGCAATGCAAAAAGACATGACCCTTAAATAAAAAAATAAACATGGTCATTTCTGTTTTAGCCTCTGAAAAAGAACTTGCAACGTCAGGCCACATTGATTTTTAGAAAAAAATAAACAGTTACAAAAACGTACGCTCGTCCAATATTTAAAAAAATAAAAATGAAAATATCCAGTAACTTGAATAAATGTTTTTTAAAAAGAAGTAGGGCCTACAATACCAACAAATGACAATACAGACAATTTAATACATGATTAAATATACAACTCTAGCTCAAGTTAAGAGAATAGAAAAATCAGCAGTTATGTTTCAATAATAAATTTATTTCTGACACGATATTTAAAAGGCATCCTAGACGTTTTAAATACATAACAATTTCAACAATATTCATATAATGTCAATTACCTCTACGTTTTGCATATCCGCTACATTTACTCGATTATAATATCTAATCAAAAGTGCACCCGCACGGTACCGGTGATGCCAAGCCACATAAAAACTAGGCCTAATTGTATTCACTTTATATGTCTATTACAGGCTACCGTACATGACGTCATGACAACTGAGAGCAGACGACACTATTTTTACGTTCCGGTAAATTTCCAGTAAACTTCGGATTATTCTGCTTACTTTTCATTAATACTGATAACATTTACGAATAATATTACTTTTTAATTAGTTTAATTGTTTTGGAATCTTGAATTAAAAGAAAACGTCTGCTTGTTACCTTTTTTTGGCCATTGTTTCTGGACGTCGACGGCATCTTGATACTTTTTGCTATGGGATCGTCTGGCTTTCTGTGAAACCTTTGACCTTCTACGCGCAATCGTGACGTCAGAAATTTGAATCTAGTATGTATATTTGCGAAGGATTGTGTGACCTTTATTGAGTGTTAATTGTAAGAAAAATGGATTGTTCATTTCGTCAAGAGAGGAGAAAAACCAAAGTGCGCCACGTTAGGGGGCGCGCCACGTTAGGGTACACCAACAATATTGTTATGTTGTGGACTTCGACAACGGCGTTGAAATTGTAAATTTTACAGTTTCGAAGGTGCAGTGCTGATGACAGAAGCTCAGCAAGAAAGAAGTTTGGAGGGCTGTTCAACAAATTGTAGTGAGAAAGCTGACATGTTTTTGGCATGCATGTTTTGTAGATTTGTCATAGCTTGAGTAGTCTCTAGGGGTCGCACTAAACAGCGTTGTCACGCCCCAACTATCGCATCGGTCCCAACTATAGTTGGGACTGTCCCAACTATAGTGCGGCAGTTGGGTCGGCCCAACTATAGTTAGGACGGGAGTTGCGCCGGATGCTTCATGCTTGATAGATCTTGTTGGATTAAATGTTCCGCGGTGCTGGCACCGTGTATTCGTCATGCATGCATATGCCGCAAGGCTGGCTGGTCACGTGGTACTGCCTAGTTGGATGAGTTGTCCAGCTGCTGGGTTTTATTATCCAGCAACATTTTGCAAAATTCAAAGATTGCCATGGCCGGCCAACTATAGATGGGCCCCACCCATAGCTAATGTCAAAGGTCCCAAGTCGGACATGTAAGCAGAGCTGTAGGGAATGTTTTATAATCGTACATCAATGTAAACTATAGTTGGGACTGCCAAATAAAAATATTGCGATGGCCCAACTACAGATGGTCCCCACCCATAGATAATTTCATTGGTCCCAAGTAAAGTCAGATGTGTATTAGAGTTGTAGGGAATGTTTTATAATCGTACAACAATGTACACTATAGTTGGAACCGCAAAATAAAAAGATTGGGGTGGCCCAACTATAGATTCGCCCCATCAATAGCTAATTTTAGTGGTCCCCAGTAACGTCAGACGTGTATCAGAGCTGTAGGGAACGTTTTATGGTTGTACATCAATGTAAACTATAGTTGGGACACCGCAAAATAAAAAGATCGGAGTGGCCCAACTATAGATGGGCCAGCCCAACAATGGAACTTACAGTTGGGACCGTCCCAACTATAGTTGGGACAGGCCCAACTATAGTTGGGCCAGCCCAACTGTGGAACTACAGTTGGGACAGGCCCAACTATAGTTGGGACCGATGCGATAGTTGGGGCGTGACAGCGTCAACACAGCGTCAACACATGACAGAAGCGTCAACACACCGTCAACACATCCAAAACACATTCTGAATTGACAGAAAGGGCATATAATTGTGAAACATACAATAAAAGAGAATTTCCATTGGATTGAGTTTCCATTTCGTTGTTAAAAATATCGTATTTTCACGCGAAAAAAATGACCTTAACTTGCACGGCCGTTGTCCGCCATCTTGACTTCGCACAAAGCTTGGGCTACACCATTTCAAGTAGGGGTGTGTAGGTAATGACATTATCTTGTCATAAACAAGATTTATACAATAATGTAAATACCAACGAACAAGTAAAGAAAATTAAACAGCAAAGGCAATTGCAGCGTAAACACAACATTAAATTGTTAGTCTTTGCAGATATTTTTAACACTGGCGACCCCGGCCGCGTCCCTCTCTGTTGGTTTATTGTACAACGCTATCACCCTTTAGAATAATGGTATGGTCCGCGCTGCCACTGAGGCAACATGGCGGGTGTTCGGCAGCCGATTTCGGAGCGGTACGGAGAGCCAATTTTCTTGAACTAAAAATCGCGATTTTCAGACGTTCAACCTATTGATTTTAAGCACAAATCTTGTTTCTGTCCATACTGTATGGGTTACATACTGCTTTTGTCAATTTTAATGCATTTTGGATGTGTTGACGCTGTGTTGACGCTGTGTTGACGCTTTGGAGTGTGTTGACGCTGTGTTGACGCTGTTTAGTATGACCGGTCTCTAGCGGTCCCGTCTCTAGTCCGAGTAACTTGGACCCAACTTATCGCCTTTTTTAACACTTGGACGTATTCCTTGCGGGTGTCGGACACTTCGCCCCATTTCCACGTCGCCCCATGTCACTTCGCCCCTAACCACTTCGCCCCATCCCCGCTTCGCCCCATCCCCGCTTCGCCCCATCCCCGCTTCGCCCCATCCCCGCTTCGCCCCATCCCCGCTTCGCCCCATCCCCATTCGCCCCATGTAGATTGGTTCCTCCAAGAGTGAAATTAGGATGTCAAAGGTATTGTCGTTTTCAGATAAGTGGGAGACGGGTAGTCCGAGTAACTTGGACCCAACTTATCGCCTTTTTTAACATTTGGACTAGTCCGAGTAGCTTGGACCCAACTTATCGCCTTTTTTAACATTTGGACATCATGGTCTGGCGATAGTCAGATAGTGGGGTCCAAGCTAATACCGCGACCTGGACTAGTCCGAGTAACTTGGACCCAACTTATCGCCTTTTTTAACATTTGGACTAGTCCGAGTAGCTTGGACCCAACTTATCGCCTTTTTTAACATTTGGACATGGTCTGGCGATAGTAAGGTCCAAGCTAATACCGCGACCTAGACAACACAGTCCCAAAAACCAACATTTTCCAACAAAAAACATCAGATTTCACCTTCAAAACGGCCTCCAAATTACTAGATATGCCACCTGATGTACAAGTAGACATCGATAATTAAGATAGTTGTACTGAAGTTTACTTACGATCCGGAAAAAAGTGAAATTTTTCGTTCATTTCGGAGAGCTCCCCTCGCGATCTTGAACACGTTAAATTTCCGATCATGTTTGAACGACGCGATTTCTTCTACATGCCCGTGTGCGATTCCGTTACCGAGCGTGCGCGATGCATCGATTATGATAATGAGTCACGTTTGTAAACACATACATGTGCATTTCGAACTGTAAAAGGGAATCGGGAACCAGCTTGAACTGGTACCCGCCATAAAAGCTGCGCTAGTTCCCGACTCCCTATTATCATTTGAAATGCACATGTGTTTACAAACGTGATCCAGTCTACTCATTATCATAATCGATGCATTGCGCGCGCTCGGTAAAGGAATCGCACTCGGGATACGGGGACCATCGAATGTACGCTGGGCATGTAGAAGAAATCGCGTCGTTCAAACATGATCGGAAATTTAACGTGTTCAAGATCGCGAGGGGAGCTCTTCGAAATGAATGGAAAATTTCACTTTTTTTACGGATCGTAAGTAAACTTCAGTACAATCTTCTTAATTATCGATGTCTACTTGTACCTCAGGTGACATATCTAGTAATTCGGAGGCCGTTTTGAAGGTGAAATCTGATGTTTTTTGTTGGAAAATGCTGGTTTTTGGGACTGTGTTGTCTAGGTCGCGGTATTAGCTTGGACCCCACTATCGCCATACCATGTCCAAATGTTAAAAAAGGCGATAAGTTGGGTCCAAGTTACTCATTATCATAATCGATGCATCGCGCGCGCTCGGTAACGGAATCGCACTCGGGATACGGGGACCATCGAATGTACGCTGGGCATGTAGAAGAACTCGCGTCGTTTAAACATTACACACGATCGGAAATTTAACGTGTTCAAGATCGAGAGGGGAGCTCTCCGAAATGAACAGAAAATTTCACTTTTTTTCTGGATCGTAAGTAAACTTCAGTACAACCATCTTAATTATCGATGTCTACTTGTACCTCAGGTGGCATATCTAGTCATTTGGAGGTCGTTTTGAAGATGAAATCTGATGTTTTTTTGTTGGAAAATGTTGGTTTTTGGGACAGTGACAGGATGATGTTGTCCAGGTCGCGGTATTAGCTTGGACCCCACTATCGCCAGACCATGTCCAAATGTTAAAAAAAGGCGATAAGTTGGGTCCAAGTTACTCGGACTACATTTGGACATGGTCTGGCGATAGTAGGGTCCAAGTAGCTTGAGTAACTCCAGCTGACATGTTCATATTCATTCACATGTAAATGAATATGAGCATGTCAGCTGGAGTTACTCAAGCTAGGGTCCAAGCTAATACCGCGAGCTGGACAACACCGTCCCAAAAACCAACATTTTCCAACAAAAAACATCAGATTTCACCTCCAAAACGGCCTCCAAATTACTAGATATGCCACCTGAGGTACAAGTAGACATCGATAATTAAGATGGTTGTACTGAAGTTTACTTACGATCCGGAAAAAAAGTGAAATTTTCCGTTCATTTTGGAGAGCTCCCCTCTCGATCTTGAACACGTTAAATTTCCGATCGTGTTTAATGTTTGAACGACGCGAGTTCTTCTACATGCCCAGCGTACATTCGATGGTCCCCGTATCCCGAGTGCGATTCTGTTACCGAGCGCGCGCGATGCATCGATTATGATAATGAGTAGACTGGATCACGTTTGTAAAAGCATGTGCATTGCAAACGATAATAGGGAGTAGGGAACTAGCGCAGCTTTTATGGCGGATACCAGTTTCAGCTGGTTTCCGATTCCCTTTTACAGTTCGAAATGCACAAGATGTTTTCAGAGACTTTCCCAATGACAGGTGGGACATATCCTGGAGGAATTGAGAGAAAATGACAAAACTGTTTGGACCCCTGTACATTGCTTTTTACCTTCAGGTCCAACCTTTTGTTGTTAATAAGCAGTTGTAGAATGGATTGGGTGAATATAAACTGACAAAATAATTCCAAACTTATTTTGATTTTCTGCTCCCCAGCAACGTGACGTTCCACGCATGTGGGTATCATAGTTTTGTGGCGGATAATAATATACCGAGGTGAGTATTTCAGCAACATTAAAGAGGTTGTGGAATGCTCGAAGACATTTCCGTCATTTTTTGGGTATATTTAGCCTAAGGTGTGATGAAATAAAAACGACTATTGTTTCTGTCATGAAATGAGTACAAAAGGTACTTTTGAGAGCTGTTTTTCAGGTCCAGTTTCGACCCGAACGTGCAACTGTGTAAATGTCGTCGTTGCGGGCAGCAAACAAAACACAGTAAATCGTGATGTAATAAATAGGACTCGTTTATGCTACTCTGCATCGGGAGTCCTGTTTATTACGTCACGATTTACTGTGTTTTGTTTGCTGCCCGCAACGACGACATTTACACAAGTTGCACGTTCGGGTCGAAACTGGACCTGAAAAACAGCTCTCAAAAGTACCTTTTGTACTCATTTCATGACAGAAACAATAGTCGTTTTTATTTCATCACACCTTAGGCTACATTTACCCGAAAAATGACGGAAATGTCTTCGAGCATTCCACAACCTCTTTAATGGGGCTAGTTCCATATAAGACAATGAAAAGACTGACTTACGGCTAAGAAAATGCCATTATATTCCAAAGTACTGATGAAAAAAAACACATTAAAACATAAGAGGTAAACTGAATAAAAATGACTGCTTGAGGCTGCACAATTCATTGACAATCATTTATAAAAATTTAAACATTGTTGCATTTGACAGGCCTTACTTGAAACATGATTAGGCCTAATTAAAAAAAAAAATCAGATTATGGATCAGAATGAAAAAAGTTTCAGGGAATCCATTTTAGACACCAATTTCATTGCTCTATGAATATGTATGACCCTGCCAATATTGGCCAATCAGAACATGTATGAATATTACCTCCCACAATCACAATCAACCTTTCAAGCTCACAGCTCCAACACTGACCAATCACAACTGTTCCCACTGGGCCTGCACGTATGTTTCAGCCCCATAGACCGTGTGTGCATTTAGTTCGTCTTCTCACGCATGCGCAATGGTTTCCTCCGTGTCGTCGGCTTGCAAAGAGCGGTAGCAGACGACGCACTGAATGATTGTCTGGTTTCCATGTCTTAAAATGTATCCTTCTCAAACGTACTTAAAAGATGATTCAAACCAAAAATTATCAGTAGACCAAGTGAACAAAGATATAAATTGTCTCTACAGTGTGGTAACGGCGCTAAAAACCTTTTAAAATATAAAAAAAACCAATAATTATGGACAAAAAACGTACAAAATGAAAAGGAAAAAAATCTTTCGCTTTTGACTTTGGTTTACACATTTTGACAATTTTCCGGGTTTACCTTAGATCAGCCGTAGTACCATCGGAAAGGATGATAGATTATTATCATTTTACAGGTGATTTGATGTAAGAAGGAAACCTGTAGCTTATAAAAATCGTCATTTTTCGAGTAAACCCATTTTGAAAGCTTCGTGCACAAATACACTGGTCCCAGTGCCCTCTGTGATCGTACTTGCATTTTAGGGGCGGGAACCAGTCAGTTGTAAATCGTTTCAGTTAAATGTATACATTTATTTGCCAACGCGTCGAAAGATTAATACAAACGGAGCGCCGTGCGTGGCTAGCCATGTTTACGGACCAGATTCCCGCAGGGTCTGTGTACAGGTACGTGCACACTAACGTTACATTCAACGAAAAAATGTATAACGTGAGACCTTACTTTTCTCATTGAAACGGTTTCCGACTTAAATGATATTTAAACATCGCACTTTCCATGGCATCTTTTACCATTTTTCAGTGAAGACAAGTTTACAATTACTCGGCAAAACTGAAAAATTATCCCCTAAACTGTCGCCTGTTTTGAATTTGTGACCCAATATTTTCGTACTACACGACACGGAAAAACAAAAAAAATGCATCAAATACTCTCTGTTTTTTTGCGCTAAGGTTTGCAAAAGTGACTTTGATTGCCTTAAATTCCTGTCCACGTGGAAAGAAAAATTTATCAAAGTTCTTCAAGCGTGATGTTGACCGATACTTCAGTGGGTCAAACTGCGACCGCAGGCATCCGTGTTTGCTGATTATCAGTATTTCATATGTTGAGTGCGCATGCGCGCAAACTAAATGAGCGGCTGAAACATACGTGCCTGATGTTTGAGCCTACCTGGAAAGAAATTTCAATATTATTTCTTGTATTTCTAAAGTTTAAAAAGTGAATTTTATTTACAACTTACCTGTTTACTTACAACTTACCTGGTACTGGCCTGTTTCTAATTTCTGTGCGTTAATGGCTGAATTGATGATCAGTTTATGAAAAACTATTAAAAAAATTAATGCATGACTGGTTCACTGCCCTCGTAGGTTTGTGCATGAACTGCATTGGTTGTTTGTCATCCATACCCATGATGCAATGTATAATAAGAATAATTTGTGAGGCTAGTCGTCCTTACTCGCAGCTTAGGACCTCTGTTGCGAAGGACGCGGATACATTGTGGTCGAGCCGCCATAGGCCTATAACCTGTGTGTGACCATGGAGCACAGCAATTGATCGAAAGTGTTGATATTTGCGGAGGGAAGAAAACCGGACAGCCCAGAAAAAAAACCTTGTGGCACAGAAGAGAATCAACGCACAACTCTACTCACATATGGTCCGAGACGGGAATCGAACCCGGGCCACAGTGGTGAGAGGCAAGCGCCTTAACTTACCTATGATGCGAATGCCAATCAGGTTTATTGAGAGTCCCAAGTAGCCAAACTAGGCTTGCCTTGCCTTGCCTTTCACCTTCTTAGTGGTTTTGGATGTGTTTAAACATCCGTAAATATGATTCACAAGTTTACCTACCAAAGAGCAACATATGTGACACAGCTTTTCATTAATCATTGACAAACAGGACTTCCTCTTGAGGCCGGGCTATCCAAAGTACCATGGGTAACACACGCTCTAATAAAGGCCCGCCAACGGACTGATGTCCCTACCACGATGCAACAATCTGAAGCAGCCTGCCAACGGACTGATGTCCCTACCACAATGCAACAATCTGAAGCAGCCTGCCAACGGACTGATGTCCCTACCACGATGCAACAATCTCAAGCAGCCCGCCAACGGACTGATGTCCCTACCACGATGCAACAATCTGAAGCAGCCTGCCAACGGACTGATGTCCCTACCACAATGCAACAATCTGAAGCAGCCTGCCAACGGACTGATGTCCCTACCACGATGCAACAATCTGAAGCAGCCTACCAACGGACTGATGTCCCTACCACGATGCAACAATCTGAAGCAGCCAGCCAACGGACTGATGTCCCTACCACGATGCAACAATCTGCAGCAGCCCACCAACGGACTGATGTCCCTACCACGATGCAACAATCTGCAGCAGCCTACCAACGGACTGATGTCCCTACCACGATGCAACAATCTGAAGCAGCCTACCAACGGACTGATGTCCTTACCACGATGCAACGGGAGGCTCATCAGATACCTGTCCCCTCAGCTGCAACAGGTGAGTACGTTGTAGCTGGTTGCTAGGATTCATTTATAAACGTACCTGAACTTTTTTTGAGTCATAGCCTGATTTTGTTCATGTACTTCTTTTCCTTTGAATGGTCAGATGAAAATGAAAGATCTTCTTTTAAAGGGAATAATTATACACCATGAGCTTTTTGCGTCGGAGTGATGTAAATCGACATTAGGTTTTGCCCTTCACCGACGTTTAAACACTGTTTACTCAGTGTGTTACCTCCCGAGTATATATTAAAATCACTCGGGTGGGACTCGAAGCCACGACCTCCTGCTTTCTAGTGCAGATGTCTTACCACTCGACCACCAAGCTAACGGATCGGTTGGCTGGTTCGAATCTGATGTACATAGCAGCGGGTACCGCATAAACTATTTGATTTACATCACCCCGACGCAAAACTCCATATTATAATAGTTTATGAGGTACCCACTGCTATGTACATCATATTTGAATAACAGCGTTATACTTTAAAGTGGCATTCCATAGACACGTTTAAAAAAAAGGTTCTTTTACGATTTATAAGTTTGGATAGCGTCAATCGATCTCATTGTTTTTTGGATGAGTGGAAGAACATGCTCTTGCTAGACATGCTTCGTTTGTGTATCTAAATAATTTGGTTGCTTTTAAGAAAAGAATCAGAGTTAATGTTATTTAGATTTTGACTCACTCTGGCTTCGTTAAAATCCACGGTTTTCCAAGAACGTGACAACTACAGATGATATTCGTACTTCTGATTTTAGATACCTCACAACAAACTGGAACCATCGGAAACATCAGTGAAGTCAGCGGTAGCCACAATTCTTTTGTTGTTGGTGCACGTGGAGTTAGTATCACTAACATCTTCCCATTACAGGGACCAGGTACTCAAATCTGATTTTTTTAATTACATTTTTGGTTGATATCTTGAATCAAATGCTCATGTGTAAACAAAAGAGACTGCAAATGTCGTCAATTTATTTGGTAGATGTATTAGCCTGTTCAAGGTATGCTGGGCAAAATAGGAAGAGGTAACAGTCTTAGAATTATGACCGGTATTCTGTTCTTCTATATTAAAGTACCCGCGCCAAATAGCGCCCCCTATTGTTTGTCAAAGTGCCATATCTAAAAAACAGATATCGCACATTGACTTTGATTAAGACATGAACAAATGGAATAATGATACTGCTCGGGAAAAACATATGGATAAAGATGGTTAGTATAAGTGAACAACATAAGGGGTCATTTATTGCGATTGACTGAGTAACTTTTCAATAAGAATCCAATATGACTAATTTGGAGTTTTAAACATGTAGTGATCACCACAAGAAGATGATGTTGATAATGATTATTATTATCATCTTAGTCAATCGTGGGATAGTGGTGTCCAATCAAGTTTTTGAACCACTGCGGTTACCGGCTTTAATTGTGTCTGAATGTATTTTTGATCCGTGTCAAAAAGTTACTTTAAGGCAACATTTAGCAAGGACACAACAGAGAATACCACCGTCCCATGGCATGCAGTGCAATATAAAAGTAAAACCATTCCAAATTTGCTTCTCAAGCCATACTTTACTAACGGACTGGAATCCCAATGGCATAAATCTGTGCCGGCAAGATGGGGGATGACAAAAATCCAAAAAACTGCCCAGCCGTCGAAATTTTAAAAATGGGGGGGGGGGGGGGGGGGGGGGGCCTGCGGCTGGACACCATATTACACTAGGGGGCGCTCTTCAGGATATAGATATAGATGTATATCAATATGTACACTCATGCTTATACATCAAAACGGCGCTTTTTAAAAGCTTTATTACTTTGTTTCTCCACTTTTCAGTAATACCTTTGGGTTGTTGGGAGGTTTCAATCCACAAATCCACATTTTTTTTCTCATCACGATAAAGTTTGGGGAATGATTCGGTAGCCCATTCCCCCCCCCCCCCCCCCCCCCGGTCAAAAGTGGGGGTATATATACACCCATCCCCCCCCCCCGGGGGGATATTACGCCCCTGAGAATCCCAATCCAATGGAAATTCCCTTTTGTTATGTTCTTTGTTTTGGAAGACTATTCGTTCTTTTTCAGGAAAAAATTTATTGAAGCGATTCATGTTGCTTGTTTTGATCTGAATAGGAGTGCCTGCACCCAGACCTCAGCTTAGTGAGAGACCAGACCAAGAACCAAGGCTGGGGACTCCTAGCTACCAAGATGTCGGTAACAAGACTAGGGACATTTTGAAGGAACGTTATAAAACAACAGGCAGTTACGTACAGTTGCTGCCTGGGGTTGCTAATGACCAAAAGCACATAGCTAGTATATACACCAAAGTACGGTTACAAACACGGGAAGGGGTAGCAGTTGTCTGTACGCCTACAGGGAAAACTGCTACAAAAAGTAGCCAAAGAGGAGAAATTGTAAACTCAATAGAGTATGCCAAAATATTCAGATTAAAGAAACGAACTAAGAAACTCATCAAACGCCTTATTTTTGTTGGCGAAGGGGGGGTCGGGAAGTCAACCATTTTTGATAAGATTGTAAACGACTGGGCTGAGGGTAAAAGCAAATTCCTGAAAAGATTCCATCTCGTTTTTCTTTTAAAGATGTGTGCCCTGCGTCAAGAATCTGATCTTGTTGAATCCATGTTAAATCAACTTCTAGATGAAGATTCAGGAATAGAAAAAGATGAACTTGAAAAAGTCATCCAGGCCGAACCAAATGAGGTCTTGATTCTTTTGGATGGCTTTGATGAAATGATGACGAAAACACTCAATGAAGCCTCGTTTGGCTCTATCCTAAAAGCACTGAATAGAAAGAAATACCGTCATTGTTGTATATGTGTATCGACCCGCCCCTCTCGTCTTGAGACACTGATGTCAACATCACTTGTGCAAAATCCTTGCACACACGTAGAGGTTCTGGGGTTTGCCAAGGAGGATGTTAATGAATACATTCGAAAATTCTTCAAAGAAGATGCTGATATTGATAATAGCAACGCACTAATCAAAAGCGTTGAAATGTCCAACACGCTGCGTGATTTTGCTAAGATACCTATGTTGCTGCTGCTTATGTGCTTGTTGTGGAGGGAGAATGAACAACTCCCCAAAACGACTTCACGCCTCTTCAATAAGGCAGTTGATCACATGTTCTCAACAAAAGACGAGGACAGGGAAAGACCACCGGATGCAAAAAAGAGAAAGCCAAACATATCAAACGTATCCAAAACAGTACCGATCGAAATAGGACAAATTGCGCTGCGTGGACTCATGAGTGACCAGTTCTCATTTCAAGAAGATGAGTTTAAACCGGAGGCGCTACACCTGGCACTAAAAGCAGGCATCCTAACCAAGCATAGTGTTGTCAAAAACCTCAAATCCCACAACAGCATACAATTCATGCATACTATGCAACAATACTGTGCCGCGAAATACTTGCAGACTTTAGAGAAAGGCGAATTTCAGCGCAGTTTGGAGCCATTGTGTTCAACAATAGATCGCGTTATTTCAAACGAGTACCTTTTGCGTTTTTGCTCTGGTGACAATGAGGAATGCATGACCGACATCGTAAACTTGCTTGGCCGTAGTAAGTTCGATGAGGATAAGCACAGCTTCAAATCATACATTATAAATACGATTTGTCGAAACTGCTTTTTTGAAAGCCAGTCAGAAAGGGTCCCACGGGGTCTCACAAGCAACACGCATATCCCATCAACTATCGAAGTGCGTAACAATAACGATTCCCACAGTCTTGTATACTTTCTTGAAATCATCTGTAGGTCCGACAGCGGCAAAGCACAACTGACGTGCGTTAAATGTATTCAGGTTTGGAGCGCATCTTCGGTCAGTGATTTGGCCTTCGCCCTGGGTTACATGAAAAACCTCAGCATCTTGAAGCTCGATGAATGTCCTCTGGGAAATAGTGCTCTTGGGAAAATTCTGTCCGAACTGAAATGCAACAAACAGTTGACCTGTATTGACTTAAGCATTTGTGATGGGCTGGGAGGTAGAGCTGTAGAATGGGCCCCACACATCAAACACTTGACAAGCCTCATCAAACTTATAATATGGGAATGCAAACTACAGGCAGCAGACATTGAACACATTGCCTCGTCTGTAAGTGACATACCCAGCCTGACTCACTTGAGTCTTGCTTACAACTACAAATTGGGTGGAACAGCTTCAACGTGGTCCACAGAATTGCCAAAAATGACGCACATAAATGAGCTGGACCTGGCAGGTTGCGATTTGACACCGACAGACATTAAATACATCGCCTCGGCTGTAGGTGACATGCCCAGCTTGACCGACTTGATCCTTGATGAAAACGAGATATTGAGTGAATTGGCTGAGTCGTGGGCTAAGGAATTACCGAAAATGACGCACTTAAAGAAGCTGAACCTGGGACGTTGCAATTTGTCACGGACGGACATGAAACACATTGCCAAGGCTGTAGGTGACATGCCCAGTCTGACTGACTTGGACATCTCTGAAAACACATTTGGCGGATCATTGTGGGCCAAGGAATTACCGAAAATGAAACACTTAAATAAGCTGAACCTGGCTGTTTGCGGTTTGTCACGGACGGACATGAAACACATTGCCAAGGCTGTAGGTGACATGCCCAGTCTGACTGACTTGAACATCTCTGAAAACACATTTGGCGGATCATTGTGGGCCAAGGAATTACCGAAAATGAAACACTTAAATAAGCTGAACCTGGGAAGTTGCGATTTGTCACAGACGGACATGAAATACATTGTCTCGGCTGTAGGTGACATGCCCAGACTGACTGACTTGATCATCGCCCGCAACAAATTTGGCGGATTATTGTGGGCCGAGGAATTACCGAAAATGAAACACTTAAATAAGCTGAACCTGAGATATTGCCGTTTGTCACCGACAGACATGAAACACATTGCCTCGGCTGTAGGTGACATGCCCAGTCTGACTGACTTGGCCATCTCTGGCAACCCATTTGGCGGATTATTGTGGGCCAAGGAATTACCGAAAATGAAACACTTAAAGAAGCTGGACCTCATTTGGTGCAAATTGTCACCGACAGACATGAAACACATTGCCACGGCTGTAAGTGACATGCCCAGTCTGACTGACTTGTACCTTAGTGGCAACTATATATTTGGTGGATTGGATAAGTTTGGCCTACAGTCCTGCAGCCCGTCACTTAAGGTTCATATGGATTGGTGATAAAAACAAACTCCAAGTGTGGACATTTTCCATACAAAGAAACAATTTCTACAAGAAAATATCAAAAAGTAAATACAAAATGAAATTTGAGAATATTTAAGTGTGCTGAACAAAATTACAAAAGAAGGGATAGTCCTGGAAACTTGGACGAGTTAATATTCGACGTGTTATTTATTAACACTCTGAAATCGGGGACTCGGATCACTAAAAAAATAATGTCTCAGTCCAGAATGCCTGCTTGCAATTTAAACATAAATATGGTACATTCTCGATTCAGATCGTCAGTACAGTACAGGGTCACGCTGCGTGTAAGACAATTAGCTGTTCACCCTCTACGTTTGATACAGTGGTTTGCCATCAAAGTCAAACTTACACTCTTATAAGTCCCGGGTCAGATTCGACCTGGAATCCCTGTCAGATTCGACCCGACACACTTCTGGGTCAAAATTACAGTTTTTAATGCATGTAAAAAGCAGAAAGCAGAATTTCTATGTCAAAATCACAATTATTTTAGTCTAAATGAGGATCATCTGGGTCAAATGGCTGGAAGGGTTGCCCTAGCTGGAAAGTAGTGTAATTTTGACCCGGAAAAGTGCCAGGTCAACTCTGACCTGGATTCGGGTCAAATCTGATTTGCCGATTGTGCATCTGCAAAACATTTTAAAATGGCAAACAAAATTATAATAGGCTTCGATCAAACCTGAACGTGTGTGCAAGAAAACATCGTTGATTTGAAAACCTAGTGGATGTATGGTACTCGTTGATTTCCTATCAAACACTGAGGCTGTATGTGTGGTTTGGTCCATTTCCTTCACAAGTTGAAGTTGAAACTTGTTTGCGAAATAACATGCATGCAAGTATATAATTATGTATAACGTTAAAACAGTGAGTAACATTCGAGTACTTTTGGGATTAATCCAACCACTGTTGGCAACTACGTGTATATTTTTGTAAATAAAATTATATTTTTATAGACACGTTGGCCAGACAATTGTATATTTGTGTAAATACCGTAGAAAGAAATGGCTATTCGACTGGTTTTGGGATTACTAAAACCAAAATTGTTGATGTTTTGTTTATAATTTGTATAAACGTTGGTGCGAAGATCGATGTGAAGATCGATTTAAAACAAAAAAACTGAGAGTGATGGAATCATTGTTTTGTCCCGGACCCAGCATCAAAGGGGCCGGGGATACCGGTTGCCTAAGCAACTGTATTCGGGATTATATCCGTTGAAAATCAAGACTACCCAAAAAAAGTACCAACTACTATTACACACCCTGATTCCACTAAATTTCTGGGATTGGATATTGACCAAGACCTTTCATGGAAAAAGCGCATTAATTATATCTGCTCAGTCATATCCAGAAATATGGGCATCATATGTAAGCTAACAGCATTCTTCACACATGATATTTATTGAATTTAGACAATGCCTTAGTCTTACCATACATATCATATTGTATGGGGCAATGGTGGCATTGGAATGCTTAAAGTGAATGTACAACATTTGCTTTTGCTGCAATTTTCAGAAATAAATGGATTTGGAGGATTATGTTATAGCAAATATTGTTAAACTGACTTGTTTCATGTTTTAGGCTTGTAGATACTGGGAAAACCAAGAAAACCAATCATGTTCTCGTACACCACTTAAGATGAGACGGAGCGATTTATAGACTTTGGTGAATTGTAAGGTCAGAGAATCAGTCTAGCAGGCTTGTACCCCTATACAGGTGTGTAATCAATTGCAGCCATGATTTTACAGGATGATTTAGACTGTCATTCCCTAACAATCCAGTAAGGTATTTTGTGATAATTTGATCATTTCGTTTTGTGATGTTTGCAAATGTTGTATTTTGAAGTTCCTTTGAACTTCAAAAAAGGTTATGTGTAAATTATATGTGACCTCTTTTCAAGAACATAGTAATTCTCTGTTCTATCACTGTGAAACATTAAAAGTCAGTGATATTCTTCCCAGCTAGCTACCCTCATGCATCAATACTAACTTCCTAAAATCTATTTGTTCAGTGTTCAAAAAAAAAAGTGATACAATTCATCATCATTTTACAAGACAGTTTAGTGAATTCCATCGTTCCTTTGCACCATCAAGCTTGCAACCAAAACTAAGCATGAGGGTCCTAAGCTATGGAACTCATTGGACACTTCCTTAAAAAGTACATGCAGTCTAGTCTCTATTTAAACGTAAATATAATACTTGTTTAATGAATAATTATTTGGAAAATGATGAAATCTCACGGGTTACTGGTTACAGGTTTCGATTATGTGTTCCTTATTTCTGTTACTAATCATATTGTTTTGTCTTATCAATGTGTAAGTGTCATTATGTAGGCCTTTATAATAATGTGGAGAAACTTGAATTAATATGAGGGCCCCAACTCGACAAGCTCTGCTTTTCGGAGGACCTCCATCCACATTTATCTTAAAATCAAAGATAAATGTATCTTCATTTTATCCGTGATAAATCTGTTACATACTGTTATGTGGAATATAGAGTTATTGATTGATTTATTGAAATATGGATTCAAAGAAAATTGAAAGAATTTTCTAACATTTTCGATAGCAGTCAAGTGTGATGTCAAACAGTCTATCACAGTGTCTTGCATTGGCTAAGATGATGAAAGAAATACTTTATTTTCAAAGTTTCTGAATTGGAAGACTTTTAGAGTTTCAAATTACTCAAGCAGATTAGATATTTACCTGTTTTTCATTGATATTTGTAATCACACATTAAAACTCTTTAAAATACAAAACTGGAAATTCTCCATTTTTTGCAAGTAGTGGCCGAGAGTAGACGTATGGAGTGCATTCTGATTTTCATTAAGCCAAATACATTATGTTTGTATCTCACTATTGTTTCTGGTGTGATCGATCATTAATTTTTGTAGCAATTATTGCACTGTAAAAAGGGACTCAACGTCATGCACGTGAATTGAACAAGTTGATGCACGTGAAGTGTCAACGTTGGTTGAAACACGCGCCTGAGGTTAAGCCGACTGTCACCCCATGTGCTTCAAGTACACCATGATACATAACTGGCAACTTCCTAATATAACACCGCATGCAATTGAGCGTCACTTTTGTGTTGTTGCAAATATAACCTCAACGGCCTCAGTTTCCTGCCGAGAGCCTCAAGTGTTCATGATTTGGGGACAAAATTGTGCTAGCGCACAGATGCATGAGGTGCAGTCAGTTTTTACAGTGTGTGTTATGTTGCATTCCACTGTACATTAATTTGTTTTGTTTTGTAAACAAGAAATTGGAATTGAAGACTGTTATTATGATGCAACGCATGAGCGAACCCCAACACTTCTGGGTTACCTATCAGCGATGTTGCATAACTCACGAACCTCGCTGTTCGCCATTTTTATTGTAAAATATACTTGTTTAGTAATGCAATGAGTTCCCTCGCTTTATTGTTAGCTCTTCGCGAGCAGAATATCAACATGTCGCAATAGTAAACAGCCCTTTGTAATACGCGGTATGTGCGCTGTCCCCCCCCCCCCCAAGACAGCGCCAACATAATTAAGAGCAAATTGGCAAAGCATGACAGACTAAACAATCCGTGTACATACCAATCATTTAATGCCGTTTACTTTTAAAATCGAATACAGAAAAAGGAAACAAGAACCCTTTACCGTTTTGCCAATTCGGAATCTACATTAATGACTAAGAAGAAGGGAAAACGTAGGCCTATCGACTTTTGACTAACAGTATCACTTTGTCCGGTTCATCGAATTCGAAGGAAATTAATATTAAACTGTTTTCCGTTTACAGAGTTAAAATATGTAAATAAGAAGAAATAGCACACTCACTTTTCGAAAATATTTAATTATCTGCTTTACTGTAACAGAAACCTTATACTAGATTAAGCGCAACGAAACCGGAATGCGGCATCCTATAAAATAAACTGATTTCAGACTATTTTCTTTTGGATTGTTTTTGTTGTTGGACTATTTCTCCCTATTTTCAACAGAATTGTGTTACACATCACACTTGATTAATTTGTAAAATTTGGAGTCAATAAAACAAGTTTTTCTTGAGTTATCGTCTGGTAACTGAGTGTGTTGTTTTTGTTCCATATTAAGTTGATTTTAATTTGTTGTTTGTTTTTTAATCAACAGAGGGCGAGCTACACAAATAGCGGTCCCCTCCTAAAGAGTTTTTGTCACACTGTGAAAAGCAGGTATCTCTCTGCATTTCTCGTTGTAAGCATGATTCAAATTGTTTGATTAAAAAAAAACCTAAATTGGATCTGAAGCTGCTCATGCTGCTCGCACTGTCATTATTGAAGAGCGCCCTCTCGTGACTACGCAGATTTCCCATAGCATGTGGGCATTGCCGCCATCTTTTCAAGTCGTGTGTCGTACGCACGAGGAAGTGTTTTGTCCCCGGTCATTGCAAGTTGAACAAAATTCGGAACGAGATAAGGTAAGGTCTTATTAACCCACCTAGCGGGAAGTCACTATTCAGAGTAAAACGAAAAACCCTTTAAACCCTGCAGGCCAATTTCAAGTGAAAGTAACTGTGTCACACAGCTCAGAGAGTCACTGCACAAGAAACAGCACTGACCACTGTAGGGCGCAGTGAAGTGTGACTGAATCTGCCTGCTGACGCTGAGTTTAATAACACAAAGGATTTGTGCAGCGATTCGAATTTATACTTCGTAGACTGAAGATTACATCAAGGAATTTAAAGGGTGGCGCTACAACTCTATTAGCTCCATAAATGTGGCTGATAGATACTGGACTTCCTTCGTGTTAGTATGCCACACCGCCATGATACAAACATTTGTGGAAAAATCCGTTGCTAGGGTAGCAGAAAATCAAAATCAAGATAGGATTTTTTTTCACTTGATAATCACCCAATCCATGCTTATTAGCCAACTAACACATTGAATTCTGAACTGCGAAGCAACGTGACATGCAGATTTAACTCTCAAGGAAACTCTCAGAGAAGGATAATTACTTCAGGACACCCACAGCACAGAATCAGGCAGAGCAGAAAATGTAACCCATGGGGTTTGGGTGGGTATCGAACCCGAGCCACAGAGGTAGAAGACAAGGAAAGTAGCACTGCACCGAGCTGACTCCCCACATGGAGATAGCTAGCAAATGTGGATATTAGTTACGCTCTCGTAACATTGGTGGTGTCATCCATTTTCGGATGTGCCTCATCAAAACCTAACTCTGTCCTGCTTTTGCGTAAAATTTCCAAATTACCAACTTTCTTCCATGTATATCATACCAGATCTGGCCCAGGGTGTCGGGACAAGCCGCCCAAACTCGTTGGCCTGTGGTCGCCACCTGAATGGTCGCCAGTCTCTCTGTGCTAGTCTGCTGTCAATCTGCGGTCAGTTGAGTGGTCTGTGGTCAAGCCAGGTAAGCCTTTTCGGGTTTTCACTGTGTGCTGCTTGTTACAAAACCATCCATATTGATGAGATTTGAAGGTTTGCATGGTGGAAAGATACTAAGACAAGATAAGTTTGCGGTAGCACCATGGGAATAAATCTCTTTTGTGAGTATGTGTGGTTCTGGAAAAAAGCGGTTCGTTTCAGAACCACACATACTCACAAAAGAGATTTATTCACATAGTGCTACTGCAAACTTAACATCCATATTGAACAAATATTACTCAAATAGGCCTAAAGTTGTCAGCTAGCTGTCAATTAAAACAGTTTTCTATACATACAGGTTTGACACTGATGCCCCTCCCCGACAGCCCCTCCCCATAACCACCCCGATACGTTTATCCCTCTATATTAGCCTTTCACCAAGGCCATCGTGGCTTAACTTGCCCGCATTCAAAGCGGCGAAAAAGGGAAGTGACTGGAGAGGGAGACCACACATGCGAGTAGCGAAGCCACGAGGGCCTTTTGTAACTTGTCGAGAAATTCTTATGTTTTTCTTTATAATCTCGATTTTTGCTACCCCAAAAGGGGTACTTTAACTTTACTTAAAAAGGTATTTCAAGACATTTGTTGATGGTGTAAACTTATTTTTCATCTGAAATCTACAGTTATGTGCTCTTACGTTTTCCTTACTCACCCTTCTTTTAAAATGGAAGCGACTAGGCAAAATTTGCATTGTGATAGGTTTTTATGCAAATAAGAAGCATGCCGAAGGATACTTCGGCATGCTTCTTATTTGCATAAAAACTATGAATCATTCAACAAAATCAAGTTGTAAAAGGCCTCGTGGCTTTGCCACTCGTTTGTGCTGACTTAATCTTTGCTCCAGTCACTTTTGGTCTTCGCAACTCCGCCGCTCTAAGCCACGATGGCCTGGGCGAAAGGCTACTCTATATGAATACGATCAAATACATGCATCAATATCAAATACCGATGAATCATAACAATAAACTGGCGGACATGAACACTTTTGCGCTTTACTACAGTAATGTTAATTTTGGGGCCGCCTTAGGATCTGCCCAAATAAATAGGCCAAAACTCCGTCCGCCGAGATCATGAATAAAGGATATACACGCAAATTATTCTATTCTAGAGAGTTCTGAGAGCTAAGGAATTGGGGAATTTCATGAGATATGGTGCTGCACCTCTGGCCCAGACTTTGGGCTTCCTATTCCGAGCATTTTTTAAAAATGTATTTGGGCCTGAAAGTGGCGCTATTAACCATGTTTACCATGGCTACTGTTCGACTTTGGAAACATTACTCGTAAAAGGGGTCGTCTTCTTTGGTGAGAATTTCTCGAAAAGTCAGTGGTTAACGCATTGAAAAAACTGAAAAGAAAATGAAAGGTAACATGTTGACCATCATTTTTCTTTGCAGCCGGAACACCTGTGAGAGTTCTGAGTATTTGTAAAAGTATTTTTGAAGTATGGGCATTTAGCACTGGTGTCTATGGGAATGTCCATGGGAGCCCTAGCTATAGCATATCAACATAACCTCGTCCGCAGGGTCTCCTTGATTGCCAACCTGGATTCCATGAGAGAGCAGGTAGTGGTGGGAGCGTACACGTACTACTGGAGACCCTGAGGACAAAGTTGGAGTCGGAATAAATAAATGTGACAAAAAGAGGGCGCTGTTTCATCTACACGACTTGAATGAAAATAAGGTTATTTCCATAATGCATTGCGAAACGGCATTGCGAAACAGGAAACAACTTGCATTTATTGTTTGGACTTGAACATCTCCCTTGAAAACTGTAATTAAAAGTTACACATTTGAAGGTGCAGTGCTCACAACGACAGCTCGGCAAGACTGAAGTTTGACTGTTTTTCAGCAAATTGTAGTAAGTATAGAAACTGTGATACAATTATTTTTATTGCAACAAAAGTTTTTGCCAACTTTTAGTCATGTTAGTTCGCGCAAGTTGACGTAAGCCTATAAGTAGACCTACGGCTATGAGTCATAGCCATAGGCCCAAGGGCGCATCCAGGGGACGAGCCCCATATTTTACATTTACGTGACGTCGCAAAACAGGCAGCCACTTCGTACACCATCATCTTTTGCTCAACAAAATGGTTAGAGGGGTCACAAATTGTCTCGGATCGCACCACAGAGCATCTAAAATGCATTTTAAAAATTGGGGTTCTTAAGCGGGTCCCAAACCCACGGAGTACAATTTTTGACCCACGTATGTTTGGGGAAAAATGTTTCCCCCAGCAAACATTGTGTTCTGGATCCGCCCATGCATAGGTCTACACAATATTGCATCGTGGATGTGGATAACAAACCAGGCAATCTGTGTACAAACCTATGGGGCTAGCTGTGCACTAGTTGAAACAACCATATTGATTCCTTCTCACTGCATAACGAATTGAGCGATCATCTTTTCATCATGTTTGTACATAATTACATGTGTATAACTTAACACCGTATAGCTGATAGTGTTACGCCGCAACTTAATTCACCACGCTCACAACTTTGGCTGGGATCGTCCCAACCATGTGTTCCAGTTCAGTTGAGACACTTTAGATAGGATGGGCCCAGACTGGGACCTTGAGTGCAGAACAACATAAGGATGCATACCTGCAAATAAACTCCCATAGACACTAGTGCTAAATGCACATACTTCAAAATTCTTTTAAAAATACTCAAAACTCTCACAGGTATTCAAGCTGCACACAAAAATGATGATCAATGTGTCATCTTTCATTTTCTTTTCAATTTTTGGTGGGTGGACCATTGACTTTTCGAAATATTTTCACGCAAAGAAGACGGCCCCTATTTTTCCCAAAGCGGAAAAGTAGCCATCTTGAAAAACGATCCCTCCACAACATGGCAAAATAGCGCCACTTTCGAGCCCAATAGCATCCAAAATGCTCAGAATTGGAAGCCCCAAGTCCGGGCCAGGGGTTCATTACCATATCTCTTCAATTCCCCAATTTTACGGCGCTCAGAACTCTCTAATATAGAATATTTTGATGGTATAACTTTTATTCATGAGCTTGGCGGATCGATTTACCGGTGTGCACCCTATAATAGCAGACAACTTTTAAATTTTAACACAAGACCACATTCAGGACAAGCAGAATATCTCCAAAGTCAATATTTTGAAAAAAAAAATTAAAGAAAAATATTATCCGAGGTCGATAATAAGCCCGAAAATAGTGATTGTTTTGCCCCTGCTAAGCTGTAGAGCGCTCCCAGCGACAATAAATTGAGTTTCAGCTACTTTTAAGCTCAAAATGCCCCCCCCCCCCTTTTCAACTATCAATTGTTGTAATCGGGTGATAGCCTACTGCTCCCTTATGATTTGGAACCATCCGTTACGGAAAAAACCCTTGTTGATACCTTTAAAACACTTTTTTCCCCCTCCCCGTAGGTTCCGCCCACTGAAAAGACCACTGCCGCGGCACAGCGCATGCGCGAAACGGCCATCTTTGTGATTCTTTATAGGGTGCATACCTGCAAATAAACTCCCATAGACACTAGTGCTAAATGCCCATTATTCCTTATCACCAGGCATAGATATGGGAACTACTTTGTCTTCATTGTCTGGACCATTTTTAGATCATTGGAATAATGTCGGTCCCTCCTATTGTTTGATCATTCAGTCAAAGACAGTCAAAAATAAATGTGTTCCCTTTGCCCTGCCATGCATTTGTATAGAGGCTATAGTATATTTATAAAAACCGAATCTGATCGCATACGTGAAACACTGTGAGTATTGTAGTCAAATATTAACAGACGAAAGAGGCAGGTCATGTACAGCTGGCATACCGGTATCAATCACCTCCAGTCAAAGCATAGCTCAATTTAAACAGGGGAATTCACTGTTAAAAACACGGTCACTTGATTGATTGTGAGTTTGTGAACGGAGCGGATAGTGCTAGCAGCTTGAAAACACAAACATGACTGAAGTTTTATTTCCTCATTTTAAGGCACTCAAATAATAATATACATGTGCACCATGTGATTTTAATTTTGCATGCAAGGGTTTTCCCTTGTAATTTTAAGCAGTGGTCATTGATCGTCAGTTAGTTTTGGAGTCGTGTCAAACTGAACATAGACCCCAAAGTTCCATACATTTCCTTGTTGAGTTTCTCTTTCAGCACCTAATAATTTCAAAACTGAAACATGTTACATGTAAACATACATGTATGTATATAAGTACATGCATAGCCTTTGTATTTTGTATGTTTGATTAAAATACTTTGCAAATAAGGAAAAGCAGTTAAGACAAAATAATATGCAAAGGTACCGGTAAGTGGGAGTTTTTAGTGTGTGTGTGTGTGTTTTTTTGTAAGTTTTTCTTTTTGAATTGCGTGTTTTCGTACGTGTCTGTCTGTTTTGACAGGTTTCTGTTATTGCTCTATGGCCTTCATAGGGGGACCGATTTAAGCCGCTCCACCCCCACCCCTATTCACACCCCATCCCCCACCCCTACCCCCACCCCGATGTACTTCATTTAATACAAAAGGGGCGTGTTATTAAAAGGACACGTTTGTTCTTGATCAACAATCTGCATTGATGCTGTGTAATAAATCAATGTTCTCTTACTGTTTATTTTTGTTTTACTTTACGTTCTATATTAAATTTTTCAGGGCCAGGAAAAGTACAAGTCTGCACTTTTTAAAAAAAAAATATGTTCCACTGAAAAAAAAAGTCATGCATAAGTAGTCAGCAATTCGTAAAGTTCAAATCTTGTGAGTTGGGCACAGACACGGCAAGGGCGGATCCAGAACACAATTTTTGGGGGGGCCAAAAAAAAAGGTGTAACTTGGTCCCCCAAAAATGTGGGTCAAAATTTTTTGATTCTAGATGCTCTGTGGTGCAATCTGAGGCAATTTCTGACCACTTAACCAATGTTTTTTTAAGGAAAAGATGGTGGTGTACTCATTGCCTGCCTTTATTGCGAGGTCACATAAAAAACAAAATTGGTTTCGGGGTTTTTTTTTGGGGGGGGGGCCATGGCC